GTAAACGTATTTAAAATATATTTAATTGGGTTAGGCTAAAATAAATTGCTCTTGTTATAATGAGGTTAGATAAGTTTTCTAAGATTCTTTTGGTGCAAAATTAAAAATTTTTACATTAACATTAATGAAAAAAATATATCTTCAAACGTATAAGAGAAAATTTTAGAAAGGACTTAATTTTAAATGAGTTCTTGCTAATTGACCAGTTTTACATATTCGGCACGATATATATATATATATATATATATATATATATATATATATATATATATATATATATATATATATATATATATATATATATATATATTATATGCAAAACAACCACTCTGAAAGAATAGAGAAATTCCAAGCGCTTTCGTGACTACTCACATTATCAAGGAACTATGAAAGTGAAGCATCCAAGGAAGCTATATAAGGGGTCCGGCCAGCACCTCACTATCAGATCCCACAACGGTTAAACACGTGACGCGCGGCGAGCCAACTTGGAAAGGTCCTTTGCAAAACTCACCCCCAAACTATTCTACCCAAGAAAATTTAAAAATTATTTGTCCAGTGTATTATTAAATTCTTCCCAAATTCTATTAATTATAAATGGATCTAATTTATATAAACCAAAGGAAATATTCATATTATTGTCAAAACTGCTTTTTATGAAACAAGATTCAATTATATTCCTGTCGACCATGGACTTGCTAGATACTACTTTCTCAACTTTTTGAAAATCAATTGGATGGTTAAAATCTCTTACATGAATAAATAGAGCATTGGAATCTTGTCCAGTTCTAATGCTATATTTATGTTGTTTTAATCTTAGTTCGAGATTTTTACCAGTTTGACCGTAATAAACTTTATCGCAAATTTTACAAGGAATCTTATAGACACATCCATCAGCATTTTGGGGGGAATTCTTTATCAAAAGTTTTTTTACTGTATCAAGATTTTTGAATACAACTTTAATATTAAAAGTCTTAAGAAGAGAAGGCATATCAACCAAGTTTTCATGGTAAGGGAGAACCAACATATTTTTAGTTGAATAAGGCTGGTTGCCCCTTTTTGGATTATAAAAAGTGTTTCTAGCAACTTTAAAAGATTTATCAATTACATTTCTTGGGTATTTTAAATCATTACCTATTTCATAAATTTTGGATATTTCCTCATCTATGAACTCAGGACTACAAATTCGTAAAGCTCTCAAAAACATTGATGAGAAAACAGACAGTTTGACTCTATCTTGATGCGAGGAATAATAGTGGACATAGGAACAGTTATTTGTAGGTTTTCTGTAAATTTTAAATTTGAATTCATTATTACCCTTAATAATTAAAACGTCTAGAAAAGGCAATGAGTTATTTTCCTCAAACTCAACAGTAAAGTTTATAGAATGGGCGCTTGGAATTTCTCTATTCTTTCAGAGTGGTTGTTTTGCATATTTTGAAATCACCTGTTTACTGTGATCTTATTGTATATATATATATATATATATATATATATATATATATATATATATATATATATATATATATATATATATATATATATATATGTCGTGCCGAATATGTAAAACTGGTCAATTAGCAAGAACTCATTTAAAATTAAGTCCTTTCTGAAATTTTCTTTTATATGTTTAAAGATATATTTTTTTCATTAATGTTAATGCAAAAATTTTAAATTTTGCACCAAAAGAATCTTAGAAAACTTACCTAACCTTATTATAACAAGAACAATTTATTTTAGCCTAACCCAACTAAATATATTTTAGATTTGTCTACAGTAATTTAATACTAAACAAATACAGCGAAATATATTTTTTTCGTTAGGTTCAGAATGATTTTGGCGAAATTATTGCATACACAAATTTTCACTTGTCCTATATGGCAAGATGAACGTTGCTATTTAAGCCAAGATCGCAAGTTCTGCCTATTCGGCACGACATATATATATATATATATATATATATATATATATATATATATATATATATATATATATATATATATATATATATATATACATGTATATGTAATATTTATCATGTTGGCTGCAGGAGCGACCTTGATAAAATGAGTTAGGTAATAATGCTGTTGTGCTTTTTGGTATTCTTTTTATATGTCTGACGCACAAAAACAACCCGTTTCCCAGTGAAACAGCAGGTGGTGCAGCCGGTCGTTACAAGTCGTTCGTATTGTCAGGTTGTGTTAATGTTCGTGCTGTCAGGTGGAGTTGCTGTTCGTGTGGATGCGTGCGTAATGGGATTATTAAAATCCCTTAAAAGACTAATGTTTATTTTCGTGAAAACGTTTGGCTCATCCTACTGAATGCCAGAGAACTGAGAACATAATATGGTAATAGCGGTGTATAAATACCTGTTCTGACTGTAATTCGTTCCTAAGTATAGGTCTTTGTAAAGGAGTTCATAATACCTGAAGTGAACGCTTTTCACAGCGTTGACGCTCGATATCACTCTTTGCCTAACATAAGTGAGAGTCAGTGATGATGTCAGGTGAGCTGCTGCCCACCTGACTTACTCGTGTCGAAATTATGACTGAGTTACATCTCTTCTGCATATATGAAACATATGGCTCAAGTTCCTTTACTATTCCTTAAGAATGTAAGTCAGTGATCTGAAAAGAGCTGTCTCTTAAGTTATGCACATTTACAGATAGGAGACGATGAAATATTTGGAGCCTCCGCAGATTTGGTAAGATGTGACTGAGTCAAACCATCATTCGATCCTGAAGTAGCAGTCATGGTACACCATACACCATCAGTTGATCCTGTGGTAGCAGTCATGGTACACCATACACCATCTCTTGATCCTGTGGTAGCAGTCATGGTACACCATACACCATCACTTGATCCTGTGGTAGCAGTCATGGTACACCATACACCATCACTTGATCCTGTGGTAGCAGTCATAGTACATCATACATCATCACTTGATCCTGTGGTAGCAGTCATGGTACACCATACACCATCACTTGATCCTGTGGTAGCAGTCATGGTATGCCATACACCATCACTTGATCCTGTGGTAGCAGTCATGGTACACCATACACCATCACTTGATCCTGTGGTAGCAGTCATGGTATGCCATACACCATCTCTTGATCCTGTGGTAGCAGTCATGGTACACCATACACCATCACTTGATCCTGTGGTAGCAGTCATGGTACACCTTACATCACTTCGTTGGCCGAGTGGTCCTGGGAATCATAATTAAGTTAACTGGCTAAAAAATGGCAGATACGCAATCCCTGGCCAAAGCCAGATAAATTATTTGTAAAATGAACTCGCTGTTACTCCAGCGTGTATGTATACTGTATATTAATTTAAAAAAAAATGACGATCAGTTAACCATGACGATCAGATAACAATGGACCGCCTGCAGGATAACACTGGTAGTGGTTGTGGTAGTCAGGGTAGTGTTGGCGAACCAAACCATATTTAATATTCACCTTCCCTTTTAAACATGCCCGCATATTTTTTATGCGTTGGGGTAATGGCATCAGCCAGCTTCTGAGCGGACAGTGTCTCCGGGGCGGGGGGCAGGGGTGGAGGATGGGAAGAGAGCCTTCTGTTATGCTAACTGGCAAGTAGACGGAACTTAGTGCTCAAAAAGATGAGTCTCGCTATAGAATATAAGATCTATCTACATTTCTAACATCTACCATCACCACTCACACTTGCACCATCATCTTCCACAACGACCACTAATAATAATAACAATAATAATAATAATAATAATAATCTTTATTTCTACAAGTACATGTACAAGGTATACAGGTCTAGCTGACATCACTGACATACTACTATATGGAAAGCCACTTGTTATACAGAGCATTTCAGAAAAATTAGGTCAGTTTTGTCCCAGGATGCGACACACACCAGTCGATTAACACCCAGGTACCTATTTTACTAATGAGTGAACATAGACAACCGGTGTAAGGAAACACGTCAAATGTTTCCACCCCTTCGCAGGGAATCGAACCGGGACCCTCACCGTGTGAAGCGAGAGCTCTTGCCACCAGGCCACTGGGCACCATCGCCACCACCGCCAGAGTCACCTCCAACACTTCCTACACACACTCTCACAATCGACGCCACCACCAATACTTCCTATATCCACCACCATTACCCTCACGCAGCACAATCACCACAACTCTTCCCTGACCACCACCACTACTACCACTACCACTATCACCACCACTACCACCACCACTACCACCACTGCCACCACCACTACCACCACCACTTCCACCACTACCATCACTACCACCTGTACAACCACCACTACCACCACTACCCTGGTAATAATAACCAGATCATATTACGCCAATCACAGTCACTAGAGTTGTATGTCTCCGCACCGGGAAAGGAGAGAGAGAGAGAGAGAGAGAGAGAGAGAGAGAGAGAGAGAGAGAGAGAGAGGAGAGAGTTTCAAGCGTCTATTACGTTCTCATAGTTTACAGATGATGAAAGGGGACAAGAACTTGATTCTGCCCTGGGATGCACCACTGTGGCAGTGGCGTCACAGATGGTGGCCTCGCAGCTCTACAGTGCTACGGTGCTAGAGAGAATTCTGTTAGGCTGGCGCTGACCTGGTGGCCAGGACGGTGTACTCTCACTTTTCAGACACCAGTTCAGATCTGCCAAAAACCGTGTGCTTTACACTGATATATTTAGTGATATACTTGTAACACTAGAAGTGTGTGTCCCTCATGGCAACATTTGCAATTTGCAATTTAAATGATTTGTTTCGCTTACACTACCACACCCATTACTCACCATCACACGTCTGTCACTCACCATCACTCGCCAAGCGCCACTAGATAGCATTATCTCACGTTCAACAGACGCAGATTCGAGTCTAGATCAATAATTACGTTGAATAAACTCACACTGGTTTATAGCTCCACATAATCATAATAAAAATTAAAATACATTGTAATACTATTAATAATAATAATAATTAATAATAATAATAATGTGTTGAACAGATGGCGAGCATCGAGGTGTCTCTGGGGTGGAAGAGACGTCGGGAGGCGCTGCTGGAGACACTGCCAAGGGCTGCCAGGGACCTGGTGAGAGAGCTGGACGCTCTCCATCAAGCCCTTAGGGACAAGGACACCGTCATACAGTCGTAAGAAACAAGATCGTCTTTGTAACCTTGTTTAGTGTGTTAGTTACACGCAGACACACTAGACACATATTTGTGTGTCTAGTGTGTCTGCGTGTAGGAGACCCGGAATGCACGTGTGGCAACGTCTTAAAGTATTGTTGATTGTTGCAGATGCTTACGTAGCAGCAGATTGCAAATGGCATGTTTAATTTGATCAGTGAGATATACTTACTGAGCAATAAATAGTCAAGAGGAAAGTGGAAGCACTGAGCCGCGTGAGTTTCTTAGGCACCATCAGTGGTCACTCCGGTGCTTCATTTTATGGTTCTCAAAACTATTACTGATCAAATTGTGTTTTTTCTTCGATTTTTTCTCTCTAGAGAAGGCGAATGCAACTCATGAATTCAGGAGTCTAATTCTGAGATGGTGACAAAGTTAATTAATCCAGAGATGAAAATTCTTGTACGCAAGAACTGTGTTTCCCTGCAGGCTGAAGACCCAGATCACAAACTTGGGCGGGACTGTGGGCGGCAGCGGGGAGGGAGGTGGAGTGATCTCTGAGACGGAGCGTCGCAGCATCCAGGACAGACTCAACAAGGTGCAGGCCGAGATGGACGCTAAGAAGGTTGCTATCAAGAACCTCAAGTTAACCCTAGAAAAGATTGACATCACAGAGTAAGTAGATCAGTGAACCGAGTATTCATTTGTACTGATGTGGCTGGCTAATGATCCTCAGTTCGTATAGTTGATTAAATATCCAGTGGTCTGTTTAATGGTCTACTGGTCCTGTGGACTAATTATCATATGGGTTCACTGTTCAGTGGGTTCATAATATGCTGAATTAATGGTAGTTTCTGAATGTTTAAATATGCGACATGAAAGAGTTTTAGCTTCATATTGCCATATTCTATTTAATAATTTGTTATTAATTGCTCATTTTTTTATTAATTATAAAGTTTATAGGACAGAAATTATTGCAGATATAATAATTACTGCGTTGTAATTACTTTTCAAAGAATGAAACGTTTTTAGTTTTGTGAATCTTTTATCACTTTTTTGATTACAGTGATATTTATATGATGGTTCCGTCAGGAGTAACAAGAACAGCATAAATTTTATGAGCCTCTTGTTATTCATATTAATTTGTATCTGTATTAGATAATCAATATATTTAGGGGCATCCTCTTTAATCACTTAAATTCAATATACTATATGACATCGTCCTTTCCTCTTTGTTTATTTTACCAAGATGTTTCCTGAGAACCATGAAGGTTTCCTCATTCTGTTTACTTTCTCGCTAACGAAACCTCTCTGAATACCTTAACATATTAACTCTTCCCAGTAACATCGACGTCAGGATTCGTGCGGCGGAGCTGGAGTACGAGTTGGAGAGGGAAGAGCTCAACATCCTCAACTTGAAGGAGGAATCGACCGTCCTTAACGCCCGTCTTCAGGACAGTCCTTCATCTTCCACTTGTAATGGTGGCCTCGGGTCGCAGCCCTCGCTGCACACCCTCCTGACCTCCAATGGAGGTGGTGCTGCTCTCGGTGGTGCCACACTCATGAGCATGGCTATCCCTCACACGCCAGGCAACCCACCCTTCCATGTCACACCTCGACCGCCCCTTGGCTGTGTCATAGACTGGGCCACAGATGACACCAGACTTAAAAAGGGTGATAGGTAAAAAAGAAAAAGGAATTATTTTGGTCATGCTTATAAAGGAAAATGTATCCAAAAGCTGTCACCAGTGAGTCATATAAGCAAGAGCCCAAGTCACGTTAATACAAACATATTTAGGTAATAAATAATTAGCAATAAGGAAATAAAACTGACGAATGATAAATTTTGATGGAACTTTCTATGTCCATAGTGCATGACGTCACTCCATTTCGTAAATATATACTGATGGCTTTTTAATATTTTAATCGTATCTCCGAGGTCTTTACGCAACTGCAATTTTCATTTATCGAGATAAATTAATAATCAGTGACACACTCTTGTGCATGTTCTCTATTATTTTGGTGTTGCAGGCTGCTGGAGGTGAATGGGGAGAACGTAGTGGGTCGTGGGTTGGAACAAGTCACCAGACTCATGGGGTCATCGTCTCACCTCAACCTTGTCATCGCCAGACCCACCACTGGTAAGTACTCTCAGTGTCCCTTGAGAGTAGCAGCATCATTCAGCATCATTATGCTTATCTCATGATCAATTCGGTGTGCAGAAAATATGCCATGAAGTTAACGTGCAGTGTTCCACATTTTTTTATATAGTATTAATAGATTTACAGCCAGTAACAGTTTTTTTTCTCTCTTTTTGAAGTACGTAACATACATTGTCTTTTAAAAAGTACATCGTGAGACTAATATTTCTTCTAACTACCCCAGGTACGGCTGGTCGCAGGTCTGAAGGACGTCATGAGAAACAGATGGAAGAAAGAACCCGAGAGATCAAAGAACTTATTGCCAGACTCGACAAAGCTCTCAAGGAGAAGGAAACTCTTAGGTGAGATATTAACATTGAATATTTTGATGCTAGTGCAACATTGTAGTTAACAGATTTATAAACTATATGAAGTTATATGGAGGTAACACCTTCAAATTGTTGAGAAATGGTTTACCAGCTAAAGTTAAAGATTAAATATAGGGGGAACTTAGCTTGGTAAGACAGCTCATTGCCTGCACAGCCGCCCCTGCAGGCGAGGTCTTGAGAAGCTGTTGAAGTCAACGGCTGAAAGAAAGTATATTATGTATGATTATAAATTACCCCTAGGGGGTGTTATGTCAGCATATATCAGACACTGATTGCTGACAACACTTACTTGTGTGGACTCAAAGGTCCACTTATCACCGGGGTTTATGATAAGTGACTAACTCGCAACTTTATACTCAACTGCGCAGTCAATAGTAGTACATCACGAGTTAGTACACTTACCTGGGTATATGTATCTGACCTGTAGTTATGCCCGGATATCCGATGTCTTGATTGAAGAATAGTGTTCTTTGAAGAATGTCGCACTACACTCTGTTGGATCGCAACACTCGTTGTTACACTGTTCATCAATAATTGTTCACACCATAATGTCACTAAAGAAGCTGATCACACTTCTCTGTAAGTGTTTATTGAGATTCTTTTGTGCAAAACGCGCGGAACAGTGTTCTTTGTTGGTTATCCCGGCACGTCAATGTCTCTCTCAGTAGAGTCAAAAGTAATCTGACCTCACAGCCTCATATGCCACTGCAATACCCCTAGAACATAATGGAAAAGCTGACCTAGTACTTTTTGCTTCCTTGCCAAACTTCCTCTATAAAGCAAAGCAGAATGCTTGATTCATACTGTCTTAAGCATAGACAACAATGTCCACTATCTTTATAAACCATACGACGGGTGGGGATAGAACCCGCGATCAGAGAGTCTCAAAACTCCAAACCGTCGCGTTAGCCACTGGACGGTCTGGAGTTTTGAGACTCTGATCGCGGGTTCTATCCCCGCCCGTGGTATGGTTTGTTTGCAATCGTGCCATTACGATTTCGTGAGTCACTATCTTTATCATGGTAATAAAGTGGGAGCAGGATTTTCCTTAATTGTCCAGCTAAGGTAAGAGATGGGCTGTTTCTTATTAAACTACACTTGCAAGGAGCGGCGGTCGCTTGACCACGTCACATGCTCGTATTGCATCTGGGATCAACTACTTGCTGTAGCAGTAAACAAGATGTTTGCCCCTTCTGAGAGGGCTGGGCCCCTCAGGGCTGAAAGGGGCTGAAGGGGGCTAATGCCCCCCTCCTGGAGAAAATTTCTCCACACCTTGACTGTAGGTTATGCTTTCCGTGAGAATGTGAAGGTTATATATATATATATATATATATATATATATATATATATATATATATATATATATATATACAAACACTGATCTCTGGCTGAAGGAGACTCGAACCTACGAACCTTAGGACAAGGTACGCAGTGCTTTACCAATCTACCCACACTGGACAATACCTTGGCGTGTAGCTTGTGCTACACGTTTGATCCAAGGCAGCCAGCTTTCAGGGAGAAGGCTTACAGCTTTTCATCTCATCCCCTGCATTTTAACAATGCAAGGAATTCGCGAGAGCAGGCGAAATATACACAAACAAGGTACTGCGTACCTTGTCCTAAGGTTCGTAGGTTCGAGTCTCCTTCAGCCAGAGATCAGTGTTTGTGTATATTTCGCCTGCTCTCGCGAATTCCTTGTATATATATATATATATATATATATATATATATATATATATATATATATATATATATATATATATATATATATATATATATATATATGCAATAAGATCACAGTAAACAGGTGATTTTAAAATATGCAAAACAACCACTGTGAAAGAGTAGTGAAATTCCAAGCGCTTTCGTGACTACTCACATTATCAAGGAACTATGAAAGTAATACATCAAAGGAAGGCAATTAAAGGGCTTAGACCACACCTCACAGTCAACTCCCACGTGCTGAATAGGAAAAACTTGCGATTTTGGCTTAGAAAACAACGCTCTTCTTGCCGAATAAGGTAAACGAAAATTTGTGTATGCAATAATTTCGCAACAGTCATTCTGAACCTAACGAAAAAAATATAGTTTATTGTGTTTGTTTATTAAATTATTGTGAATTTATCTAAAATATATTTAATTGGTTTAGGCTAAAACAAACTGTTCTTGTTATACTAGGGTTAGGTTAGTTTTCTAAGGTTCTTTTGGTACAAAATTATTAATTTTTTACATTAACATAAATGAAAAAAATATATCTTTACTTGCACGCTCTTTTTGTATATTCATTTTAATATCCTAATTTAGGTAAATGGCCACATATGCATCTTTTGAATATGTATTTTGACTATTTCTTCTAACGCTGCAAATATGTCTATTTTTGTAAATTGATTGTCAGTATATTTATAGCAATTGTACTCTCTTAATATCTTATCTGCGCCAGTCATCTACTGAATATTCTCTAAAAGTTATAATATTCTCCGGTTTAACACAAACAGAAGAGGACTGAAGTTTGTGTGTTTTGAAATTCACTTAACTAGGATTTTTTTTTTGCGACAGCAGACGATACTGTAAAGTACATTTACACAGGTTGCAGTTATATCTCCTAATACCTAATATCAAACTTTCTTCCTTCAGGAGTGACAACACTCGTCTGAACCACCGCATTGGCTACCTGGAGGAGCAAGTGTCGGAGCTCCAAGCGAGTCTGAGTCGCACTCGAGAGGCAGTACTCAACCACACCAACGGGGAGAGTATCGTCACTTCACAGCCAGGAGCCACTGTTATCCAGGTGTAGCATTTTACAATGATTCTATTCCAAATCCGTCGCTGTTAACGACGTTAAATGACCCACGCGGGTTTGGTGCTTCACATAAAAATAAAACATAATAATCCGAGTCCATATAATCACTTGATCAGGTAATTGTTTGTGAGTTGTTTGTAAACAGATGTTTGCATTGTTCAGATCATGTTCTGTACGACCCCATCTCAAGAATATTAAAGTAATAATAATGGTGTTCTCTTAGGTGTTCCAGAAGGGAGAGCAGAAGCTGGCAGTAGCAAGCCCGGAGGTGGGCACTGGACAGGTGGAAAGAGCCCAACAGTACCCAACCTTACCCAGACTGAGGTCTCCGGATTCGTCAATCTCTTCTCCAAGTTCCTCTCAGTGTGACCCTAGTGATCGACCCACCGTGGGCCACATGACCTCAACCAGACCCACCTCTGCCTCAGACAACGTAAACCACGTTAGTTCAACCAGAACAACCTCTACCTCGGACTATCGCAGAAGAGTCCTCTCTCCACGACCTGACTCCAAGAACGAGGTACTCAAATTATCTACCATAATTTGCAGTCAGGGTTCCAAGTAATATAGTATTAAAGAACACATTGCAATTTTTTAAGAACATAACATGATAAGGTTAATAACAGGAGACTAAGAACATCAAAAATTATTCTAAAATGCTTAAAATATTAAGTAGTTAGTTTTTTGGAAGATAAAAGAACAGTAGTAAAAATATGCTTATTTCTGGCATTAATTATTGAAGTGAGATATGTACAGACAGGCCTCACTTTACAGCGCTTCGCTTGACAGTGTTTCGCTAATGCAGCATTTTTTAGTTATACCCATTCCTCATTTATTCAGACTTCTTACAATATATTCACCACTCACTATAAGCTAAGGACGAAAATATTTTGAAGTAAGGGGTGTACTGTACATGCACATTTTAGGCCTAGCTTTATTGCTCACTTAATATATGATAGTGTAAGCATGTTCTGGCTTTTGTACGCGTTTGAAAGTGAAAAAAGAATATTTTCACTTTACAGCGATTTTAACTTCACACTGGTAGCCCAGAACCTAACACTGAGGTCAGTGGTCACGTGTGGTCATACCTGTCCTGAGCTGCCTGAGTATTAGCGTGGGCTGTTACCAAGCATCATGGCTTGTTGTAGTGTTTTAGAATCTCAGGTTAAATTGTTGAAGAAAGAGGTTCTACTTCTTCGGGAGGAAAATAGGAGGCTTAAGCTTTGCCTAGATGTGTCTGGGAGTGAGTGTGAGATAGTTGGTGCTGGTAAGGAGGAAATGCTTACCACCAGTGAGAGTGGCAGCTGCTTTAAGTGGCAAGTGGTTCACAGTTCAGGAAGAAGGAAGATAAGGAGGGTTAACAAAGACGATGTGAAGGTAGGAAATCGATTCTCTGTTCGCCAAGACGAATGTACTTCAGTGGTTAGTGAGCTTAAAGATACCTCTGACTCCCCTGTTAATCAAGGTAAGAATATTCTGATTGTGGGCGACTCTCAGGTAAGATATATGGACTGTGCTTTTTCTAACAGAGATAGAAAAGTCAGACAGAGGGTGTGCCTCCCAGGAGCTGGTGTTGGTGATATAGTCAGCAGGTTGGGTAATATTATGTCAGGTAAAAGGAATAAGCCCATTATCTGTCTTAGTGATGGTGGAAATGACACTGGGAAGGGCAGGAGACAGGAACTACTGGATAGGTGCAGGTCAGCCATAGAAGTAGTCAGATCTAAGAGAGGGATCCTTATCATATGTAGCATCTTGCCTAGAAGGGGAGTGGGCAATGAATGGATGTCTAGGGCAATTGGTATAAATTGCTGGCTAGACAGGTACTGCAAGGAACTTGCAAGGGATGGGGTTCATCTCTCTGGGGCTGGAGTGGTTGCATTAACCAATTCGATTGAGGGGGTAATTGGTGACTTGTCTAGGACTTTAAACTGATAGATTATAGAGGTATGGGTGTTTGTGGGAAACAATCAGGCTGCAGTATTATTGTTGGAAACAGCAGATATTATCAGGATACCTCAGGGATATGTTTGAAAGACAATATTCAAAATAAAGTTCCTAATAAAGGCAAATCAATTGATCAACAAAGAGAGATAGTAGAGGGCAACGAGTGACTAGCTCCCTTAAGGTTTACTATATAATTAGTAGGAGTCTAAGAAATAAGATAGATGAGCTAAGATTACTGTCAAGTGCAGGTAATGCAGATATGATTGCTATAACTGAAACCTGGTTCAACTTGAAGAATAGAGAAATGCTTTCTGAATGCATCATAAAGGGTTATAAACTATTCTACACTGATAGGGTCATCAGGAAGGATGGTGGAGTGGCGATGTATGTCAGAGATAATTGTTGTGCTAGACATGATATAAGATTAGAAACATCGGACACAGGATCTGTTTGGCTGCAGTTTCTCGAGGGGTCATGAAAAATTAATTTTGGTTGTGATATATAAGCCCCCAAACCTTGATAGGTAGTGCAGTAAGCTGTTATGAGACGAAATTCATAAGGCGTCTAGATATGAAAATGTTGTGTTAATGGGGGATTTTAACTTTAGACAAATTGATTGGAAAAATTTGACAGGAGATCTTGAGTCTCGTGACTTTCTTGATACAGTTCAGGATTGCTCTTTAGAACAGTTTGTGACAGAACCAACTAGCGAAAAACAATCTGCTTGACTTGGTTCTTACCAGCAAAAATTCATTAATTAATAATCTTGAGGTTAATGATAAGTTTGGGGAAAGTGATCACAAATCACATAGTTTCAATATGTTATGGAATTACCCAATAAACTGCAATCAAGTCTCTGCCCCAGACTTTCGATTGGCTGATTTCATGGGACTGAAAAATTGCCTGGGTGGCCTAAATTGGGATGTCCTGACTATGGGTCAGGTAGGTGATCTTGGTTGCCAATATGACGTTTTTCAGAGCATAGTTCTAGCTGCCCAGACAATTTTTGTTCCGAGTAGGGAAATTAGATCTAACAAAAATGATCCCAAATGGATGAAAAATAGATTAAAACATCTCATTGGTCAAAAGAGAGGCATTTTTTAAACGTATCAAAAGAGGGGAAATAAAAAAAGAAATAAGAAAAACAAAAAGGGATTATGAGGCTATAGTCGCAAGGGATTCGAAGACTAACCCAAAAGGGTTCCTTCAGGTATACAGAAGTAAGATTAGGGACAAGATTGGCCCACTTAAGAGTAACTCAGGTCAGATCACTGACAGTGATAGGGATATGTGTGAAATTTTCAATTCTTACTTCCTCTCAGTCTTTGCTCAGAAAGAAACTAGCGAAATTCCAAAAATAATAAATTATGTAGAACAGGATAATAAACTATGCACGATTGCAGTAACTAGTGACATGGTCCTCAGACAAATAGAGAAATTAAAACCAGACAAATCCCCAGGTCCTGATGAATTGTTTGCAAAGGTTTTAAAGGAATGTAAAGAGGAACTTTGCAAACCTTTGGCTATTCTTTTCAACATATCACTACAAACTGGCATTTTGCCTGATAAGTGGAAAATGGCAAATGTAATATCTATTTACAAGGCAGGTGACAGGTCCTTAGCTTCGAACTATAGACCAATAAGCCTTACCTCCATAGTGGGAAATTTATGGAATCAATAATTGCCGAGGCAATTCGTAGCCATCTCGATAGGCATAAATTGATAAATGAATCTCAACACGGTTTTACTAAGGGGCGTTCCTGTCTTACGAATTTACTAATTTTCTTTATTAAGGTATTTGAGGCGGTAGATCCTGGTATTGAATATGATATTGTGTATATAGACTTCAGTAAGGCTTTCGATAGAGATCCACATCAGAGGCTATTGAGGCCCTCGGGCCGAGAAATGTAGCTTTTTTGTTTACCGTCCGATTTCCTCCAGTTTTGGTGCACAAGACAAAGTGTTTTCACTCATTCTTGAAAATATTTATCAAAAATATACCTCAAACGACAACTGAGAAAAGACTGAAAAAGGCTGATTTGCTGAAAAATGCCCTTTGGGTCCTATTTATTCCTATATGGGACATCGTAAGGTTGTTTGGACACTTGGTGCCGAGAGAGCAATGCTTATACGAAGTTTAGGCAACGCCTTTTCTCTAAATAACGTATCTTTATTTAAAAAAAAAAAAATATTTTTTTAGTTCCTGGAATACTGCAAAAAATCTGCCCTTTACTCCCACATAACTCCGAAAGTATTTGGAATATTTCCAAATTACATTACACACAATTAGAGAAAGCATTATTCTACAATTTCTGTGAATATTATTCCATTTAATTAAGTAATAAATGCAGAAATAGGAACTGAAGGTGAATAAGTTACTTCCGAGATATAGGCCTAGAACGCCGGCCGGCCCACCGTCTCAAAAAAAAAATTGTTTTTTTTCGCGAAAATCGCGTTTGTTTGGGTGTATTTCTTAGTAAACTGATGTTCTAGTGCGGTTATCCTCTTCAAAACACCGTTTTCTCTTACTCAGAGACCAAAGAATACGACACGGAGACGACATGGAGAGCAGTAACTCAATATTTATCGAAATATTCCCGATAATCTTTCGCCATATTATGGCCTATTTTTTTCAGTCTAGAGTATATAACATGTTTGTATGTTATTTAGAGTGTTTATTATATCATATTAGATCAATTCTGATAGATAAATAAGCCGTAGAGTTGATATATAAGCTGATATAAGCGTAATAATAAAGTGATTTCTCCTGAACATTATTATAGAGTGGGTAAAAATACTCATAGTGCCTTTTTATACATTTATTGAGTAGAACTGGTTGTACAGACAATATTCCTGAAGTTCCATGAAGATCTCTTCATCCTGAAGTTCCATGAAGATCCCTTCATCCTGAAGTTCCATGAAGATCCCTTCATCCTGAAGTTCCATGAAGTTCCCTTCATCCTGAAGTTCTCTGAGGTCGGCCAGTCATGACAATCCATCCCAATCAAACTGAAAAGAAAGAAATGAATGCTCAAAATCCCATTCCCAGTGATTATGTACGCAGATGCTGTAATTGCACACATATATGATATTTATATACATAAAAATACACCAAAAAACCACAAGAATTACATACCTTTGACCAGGTGTAGGTGGACACATTATCATCTAATGTCCACCAGGTTCATAGGACGTGTCCTGTCCCCTTTTCCTCTTCTTCCTTTTTCTGGCTCGTATTTTCTGCATGTTCTTGTCCATATATTCAAGGTGTTTTTGAGTCACTTTTGAACGTCCGTAGCCAAGTGGTATGTCTAGGCAGCTCCTCACATACCCACTATTGTAGTCTGCCACAGCATGGCTGACTGCGAAATCAGCTTGCCTTTTTGTTCGAAATAGGGCTTTACTGCAGTAAGACCATATGCGTTGATGTAGACTTTCATTAGGGTTTTGCGTTCTACCTTTTACACAACGCTGCATCATTTCATCTGTTGTTAGGTCTTTGTAAATATTATGCACTTCCTCAAAGTATCTAGGTTCCAGGTTGAACTGTACTTTCATTGTGGTGTGAGACGGTGGAGGAAGGTTTGCTGCTATTGCTTTCTGGTAGAAACACCAGGAATTATCACCTGTTGGGCAAAGGTGATGCTGTGGTTTTTCATCACTTGAGGAACAATGAAAGAAGCTTGAAAGGATACAATTCCTCATATCTTCAACATCATGATTGATCTTCTCTCGCAGGTTCTTCTGAAAGTAGTATGCCAACTTATCGATTATAACGTCGGTCAACATGCCCCTTTCCTTCATTGCAAACTCCTTCCTCTTCCTCCCAGTTTTCAATTCTCTTTCAACATATTGTGACTTGACCAAATTTGTTAGTCTGGTCTTTAGACGTTTAGCATAGTGATTGATACATTCCTCTTTTTCAACATGTACACCTGGATAAGGACCTTCACCATCGTTGACGTCAACAATGGCTTTATACGTGTTGCTATCACCATCACTCACAATTGATTTGTATCTCAAATTATTTTCAAGTGATCGCTGCCACATCATTACCGCTGCTTCACTTTCCATCTTTGCAGAGGTTCCTGTATAGTTTATGTTGCATTCAAGCTCGTGTCTTTTGCGAAATTCTTCATATTTCTCATTAGTTACTTTCTTTTTCTTCCAAGAATTTTCCATAAAGATACACATATTACAGTACTTACTGAAAACTTGATAATCAACCACTAATTTTGTCAAGGCATCTATAGCTACACCAATGCCTATATTTGAGTGATGTCCCCTTGTCTGCCATGTTCCGTCATATGTTACATCAATGTCAAGAATTTTTGCGTCATCTGGTACAATGTTCAGTTTGCCATATTCTTTAACAATAATGTCCTTAGATTCGGCAAGTATTTTCTTACATGACTCAATAGATTTTTGTGTTATCATAGACGCATATTTATTGTATGTCTCCAGACTGATACGTGGCAAACTACACACTGCATTTCTACGAATAAATGAATAGTATCCACGACCTGCTAACAGTTCCCCATACACCATTTTACCAGTTGCAACATTCATTGTTTTATACTTCTTCGGTTTTTCCCCCAACTTATGGGGACACACAGTACACTCTAGAACAACACTGCCCTCTAGATGATGTTCATAATATACAGTCTTCATTTTTCCAACACAACACTCAGGGCAAAATACTTGCGAGAAGATCTCATCATGTAATTTTCTAGGATCAAGAATTATCATTCTATTGTCAGTGCTACTAGGATCTATAGTATTAAATAATGACACTCTCTTTTTGGCACTTGACACCCGAGCAGGTGCAGGTGTTGACACTGGAATGTCACTCGCAACACAACTGTCACTGTCACGTTCAACACTATTATCAATATCAGTGGTGGCCATGGAGCTGTTGGCCACATCTGGGGTGGCAGTGGAGGTGCTGGCCACAGATGTGGCCATGGTGCTGGCCACAGATGTGGCCATGGTGCTGGCCACAGATGTGGCCATGGAGGTGCTGGCCACAGATGTGGCCATGGAGGTGCTGGCCACAGATGTGGCCATGGAGGTGCTGGCCACAGATGTGGCCATGGAGGTGCTGGCCACAGATGTGACACCTCTTTTGGTCTTCGATCCTTTGGGTCGGCCAACTGGACGTCGTGTGGCCACAGGTCGACCTCGTGAACGTGGGGTGGCCACATGTGGACTGGCCGTGGAGGTAGTGGCTGTAGAGGTAGTAGTCGTCATGGTGGCCATGGAGGTGGCCATGGAGGTAGAAGTCGTGATAGTAGAAGCTGTCAAGGTGACCACGGTGGCCACGGTGGCCATGGTGGCCATGGAGGTACTGGGCACATTTGCTGTGCTCTTATCCTTTGTTTTCCCTCGTTTTGAAATATCCAATAATTCACCAGCAGTGAACAAGGATTCGTCTTTAGAGGAGGGTGGTGGCAGTAGTAACTCTTGAGAAGACTGAGGTGGTGATGGTATGGCGTCACCACCCAAAGCAGCTGCCTCTTTTTCTATTTTTCTAGCCCTTCTCATTGCTTGCATCTGCTTTTTCTTCGTCTTGCTAAGCTTCGTGGTATAATGTTTAGTCCTTCTAGGCATCGTGTACAAAAAAAGTATACAATGAAAGGCAAAAAGTGATGGTCCAAGGAGTGGCCCGGTGGCTAAAGCTCCCGCTTCACACACGGAGGGCCCGGGTTCGATTCCCGGCGGGTGGAAACATTTCGACACGTTTCCTTACACCTGTTGTCCTGTTCACCTAGCAGCAAATAGGTACCTGGGTGTTAGTCGACTGGTGTGGGTCGCATCCTGGGGGACAAGATTAAGGACCCCAATGGAAATAAGTTAGACAGTCCTCGATGACGCACTGACTTTCTTGGGTTATCCTGGGTGGCTAACCCTCCGGGGTTAAAAATCCGAACGAAATCTTATCTTATCTGACAGCTGTCAGACGAAGCGACGTACTTCCACCTTCTTCAGACTTCTCGTCGGCACTGACTGTCTCCAGTACCAGCAGCTCCTTCTCACAGCTACACTGATGGTTGCCAATTACTACTTACTAGAACTAGCTCAAAAATACACCAAAAAAAAAAAAGGAAAAAATACGTGTGGGGTATTGTTGACGTGAACGCGCTGGTCCACGTGTTGTTGTTTTGACATGAGTTGCCACGCTGTGATGACGTAGTTATCTTTCTTATAATTACGATAACTTTTTATCTAATTATCGTACAGACACGAGACGCACACCAAAATGTTGCCAGATGTTTGCTCTATTTTTCGGTAAGATTAACTAATTTTTCATATTTTTTCGATTTTTTGGTCTCTGAGCTCAGAATTGCCCGAGGGCGACCTTAAGGCACACGGAATAGGAGGAGAAATTTTTTCTTGGGTAGAGGCATGGTTGACAAATACGCAGCAAAGAGTTTGCATAAATGGGGAGAAATCAGAATGAGGGCACGTCACAAGTGGTGTTCCACAGGGGTCAGTTTTGGGCCCTTTGTTGTTCGCAATTTACATAAACGATATAGATGACGGAATGAAGAGCGACATAAGCAAATTTGCTGATGACACCAAAATAGGCCGTCCAATTCATTCTGTTGAGGACATTAGTGCACTCCAGGATGATTTGAATAGACTGATGCAGTGGTCGGAGAAGTGGAAGATGCAGTTTAATATAGACAAATGCAAAGTTCTAAATGTTGGACAGGACAATAACCATGCCACTTATAAAGTGAATAGTGTAGATCTTAATACTACTGATTGCAAAAAGAATTTAGGAGTTCTGGTTAGCAGTAATCTGAAGCCAAGACAACAGTGCATAAGTGTTCGCAGTAAAGCTAACAGAATTCTTGGCTTCATATCAAGAAGTATAAATGATAGAAGTCCTCAGGTTGTTCAACTCTATACATCCTTGGTTAGGCCTCATTTAGACTATGCTGCACAGTTTTGGTCACCATATTACAGAATGGATATAAATGCTCTGGAAAACGTACAGAGGAGGATGACAAAGTTGATCCCATGTATCAGAAATCTTCCCTATGAGGATAGACTGAGGCCCTGAATCTGCACTCTCTAGAAAGGCGTAGAATTAGGGGGGATATGATTGAGGTGTATAAATGGAAAACAGGAATAAATAAAGGGAATGTAAACAGCGTGCTGAAAATATCCAGCCAAGACAGGACTCGCAGCAATGGTTTCAAGTTGGAAAAGTTCTGATTCAGGAAGGATATAGGAAAGCACTGGTTTGGTAATAGAGTTGTGGATGAGTGGAACAAACTCCCGAGTACCGTCATACACGCTAAGACGTTGTGCAGTTTTAAATAAAGGTTGGATAAATATATAAGTGGGTGTGGGTGGGTGTGAGTTGGACCTGACTAGCTTGTGCTACAAGGTCTGGTGCCGTGTTCCTTCCTTAAGTGGAAGTGACCTGACTAGGTGGTCATTGTTCTTGGCCGGGTGGAGGCATGGACCTGCTTCGCATGGGTCAGTAGGCCTGCTGCAGTGTTCCTGCTTTCTTATGTTCTTATAAGCGGGGCCCACCAGTATTTAAACGTACAAAAAATAAATGTTAATTCACAATTACTCGCCTGGCCTCTTCATACTGTTCCCAATATTTAGCCTGGCTCAGCCTGGCTCAGCCTGGCTCAGCCTGGCTCAGTCTAACTCAGCCAGGTTCAGTCTGGCTCAGCCTAGCTCAGCCTAGCTCAGTCTAACTCAGCCTGGCTCAGTCTGGCTTAGCCTGGCTCAGTCTGGCTCAGTCTGGCTCAGCCTGACTCAGCCTGACTCAGTCTGGCTCAGTCTGGCTCAGTCTGGCTTAGCCTGGCTCAGTCTGGCTCAGTCTGGCTCAGCCTGACTCAGCCTGACTCAGTCTGGCTCAGCCTGGCTCAGCCTGGCTCAGCCTGGCTCAGCCTGGCTCAGTCTGGCTCAGTCTGGCTCAGCCTGGCTCAGTCTGCCTCAGTCTGGCTCAGTCTGGCTCAGCCTGGCTCAGTTTGGCTCAGTCTGGCTCAGCCTGGCTCAGTCTGGCTCAGTCTGGTTCAGTCTGGCTCAGCCTGGCTCAGCCTGGCTCGGTCTGGCTCAGTCTGGCTCAGCCTGGCTCAGTCTGCCTCAGTCTGGCTCAGTCTGGCTCAGTCTGGCTCAGTCTGACTCAGTCTGACTCAACCTGGCTCAGACTGGCTCAGTCTGGCTCAGTGTGGCTCAGTGTGGCTCAGTGTGGCTCAGTCTGACTCAACCTGGCTCAGTCTGGCTCAGTGTGACTCAACCTGGCTCAGTCTGGCTCAGTCTGGCTCAGTCTGGCTCAGCCTGGCTCAGCCTGGCTCAGTCTGGCTCAGTCTGGCTCAGCCTGGCTCAGCCTGGCTCAGTCTGGCTCAGTCTGGCTCAGTCTGGCTCAGTCTGACTCAACCTGGCTCAGCCTGGCTCAGTGTGGCTCAGTCTGGCTCAGCCTGGCTCAGTCTGGCTCAGCCTGGCTCAGTCTGGCTCAGCCTGGCTCAGCCTGGCTCAGTCTGGCTCAGTCTGGCTCAGCCTGGCTCAGCCTGGCTCAGTCTGGCTCAGTCTGGCTCAGTCTGCCTCATTCAACAATGATACAGTTATATAAAGTTGTATTAACAGCAGACTTAATTTAAATATTATTTTAACCTATTTTTAACACTATTTACATTATTATTTTCCACTACTCTGGCAAAACTGTGCCAAAAAAATTAAAACCATTGTTGTATGATATATTTAATTGTAAAATTATTATATACATACATTATATATATATATATATATATATATATATATATATATATATATATATATATATATATATATATATATATATTTAACATCTTGTAGGAGAGAGGAAGAGCCAGTTGTGAGTGTGGGGGAGGTGCGTGAGGCATTACGTAGAATGAAAGGGGGTAAAGCAGCTGGAACTGACGGGATCATGTTAGAAATGTTAAAAGCAGGGGGAGGGGGGATATAGTGTTGGAGTGGTTGGTATTTTTGTTTAATAAATGTATGAAAGAGGGGAAGGTACCTAGGGATTGGCAGAGAGCATATATATATATATATATGTCGTGCCGAATATGTAAAACTGGTCAATTAGCAAGAACTCATTTAAAATTAAGTCCTTTCTAAAATTTTCTCTTATACGTTTAAAGATATATTTTTTTCATTAATGTTAATGTAAAAAAATAAATTTTGCACCAAAAGAATCTTAGAAAACTTACCTAACCTTATTATAACAAGAACAATTTATTTTAGCCTAACCCAACTATATATATTTTAGATTTGTTTACAATAATTTAATACTAAACAAACACAACGAAATATATTTTTTTCGTTAGGTTTAGAATGATTTTGGCGAAATTATTGCATACACAAATTTTCGCTTGTCCTGTATGGCAAGATGAGAGTTGCTATTTAAGCCAAGATCGCAAGTTCTGCCTATTCGGCACGACATATATATATATATATATATATATATATATATATATATATATATATATATATATATATATATATATATATATATATATATATCAAAATATACAGTACATGAAATTAATTTTATTTGTATAATCTAATTATTTTGTGAGGTGGCTGTGTTAAAGACGTCATCTGATCTTACAGGATCCTCGGCCACCGTCACGTACAAAGCCAATACCGCCCAAGAAACCTGAACGTCTAAGTCTACAGAGAACAACCAGTCTACAGAGTGTGGAGGAGAGCTCATCAACCTCCCGTTCCTCGGCAGCAACACCATCCAACTCCCGCTACAGTGCTCTCCAGACTTGGCCGTCACTTGACACTGACATTCACTGCAGGGACAACGACGGTCAGTCTCAAACAATATACGAGCGAGGTCAAGAAAGATCCACTCACCGTAGCCACGAGAACATCTACGAAAGACACCATGACAGATCAAACTATGGTTCCCCAGGACATGAGCATTACGCCTCTAGATCCCAGGGTGATGGAAGTGTTCGAATGATCATCAGTGGAAGTCCTGTGTCTGCAGAATGCCTGGGCAAACGTTCCAGCCTTCAGGGTGTGGCGTCAACACCAGCCAACGAAAGAGTATCTCACCAGAGCAACCACAGGTGCCACTCACCAGATGTCGCTCTTCATTTAGAGTGTAATAATAGAATAGGTGACAGTGAGGTCGATGTGTTTCGATCAGAGATTAACAGTCATGTTGCCACCCGTTTCACCTCACACAATCATCATCCCAGTCACAACGGAAACCACAATCACCATCACCACCAGCACTCCCAGCACCATAACCACTATTCTCTCACTACCCCTCACTCACCACCTGTCGCAGCACCACGAACCTCAGCGCTTAGTGTTGCAACAAGTCCTCGGCCTCATGAACAGTGGTGCTGATGACACTCTTATGTACTAAGCCCTGGAACTGCCGTTGCAGAACCTCTAACAGTATTCTGATCAACACATCTTGTCAGTTATTAGGATCTTAATGGCATGTGAATTGAACAGTTGATTTGAAAATAGATAAAAATGATGAGAAGTGACTAACCGGCCTAAGAGAACTGAACATCACAAGAGATACCTTCCTCTGTGCTCCAGTGAAACAGTGAAGGTAGAATAAGACTTGCAGGTGAAATAAGGTATTCTCATTCAAACTAAATAATTTCGTTTAGTGGAATGTGAGATGACTACGTTCTTGACTCATAAAATACCAGGACCTATGAAATTTTTTCATGATAACGTGCTAATAGTTTTTTTTTCTGAAGTCTTCTGAAAAAAAAAATAATTGAAATCTGCTCATTCTCATGAATTGTAAATAAGTGACAATTTTTTACAGCTATGTGAGTGGTTGCAAATCCTTGACTGTATATACCTTAAATATTGAAGCCTGTAATTTAAGACATTCCTGCAGTTTTCCTTGCAATATCGGCTTGTGTGTGTAAAGTTTTGTTACACGTGTTGTAAATATACATATATATATATTTTGTGTAATTACTAATGAATAAAGACCAAGTTTTATACACGTCGTTTAAGTATATTCTTGAAGAAGGGGTCATTATATACATTCTTGAAGAACGAGCCATTATACAACACACCCGTGTAGGTAATTTTCCCTGGCGACTACAATAACAACAAAATGCGTCTCTGTCTTCGTGAGAGGCAGGAGTAGAGGAAGACATAGCGGAAGACACGAAACGGCAGATCCAGAAAACAAGTGGGAAGTCAACCTCACCTTTCAGCGATATGTCTTACAGATTTGCATCGGAGGCGAAGACACTTGACTTTTGACTCGCGAAGAAGACAACGCGGACCTCCTCCTCCTCCTCCTCCTTCCCAGCAGGAAGAACAGATCTCGAGGAAGAAATAACGGTTGCAGGCAGGGAAGGTAAGTAAGATGGCGGGTCGGAAGAAAAACTTGGAAACGGTTGTGTATATAGATGATTATAAATAGGAAGCGCATCTGTCTGGCGCTCGGTAGACGGAGGATCAAGCCTTCACAACTAGCCTTGCGCTGAATGACTCATATGGCTTTAGCGATGATCATGATTGAATTAATTATTTGTTCAACAGGTCAAATGTATTTATTTGATTATATTCAGGAGGGGGGAAGCGCTTAGTCCGTAGGGGTTACATAACGTCTTGGGAATGGGTGGCATTCGGGTTCTATCCAAGGAAGAGGACAATAAGTCAAATTCCTTGGATCAAAAACCTCTCCAGAAAGAAAGCAAAAAGGGATGTGTAGGGTGACAAGTCGACAGTTCGTGCGAGAGTATGGAATAGATCCGACGAATAGACCTGATAGATACAGGATGGTCTTCCGGGAAGTCATTTCCATTCTGGTGACATTAAGACCTTGAAGACAGCGTTGCTCACAGACGTCTTCCACAAATTCCTTCTCCACGTCTTGCAGTGCCATCGATTGACAACAGAAAGGGTGGGCATAGACACACAGGCAAGTCTCCTAACACCTTCTACCTCTGTTACCTAACATTACATAAATACTGAGAAATGTTGACTTTATGAGCCAAATCCTGAGGAAAATCTAAATCTGAACTCCGTGAAAATAAGCCGTAAAGTTCAGTTTTCTTGGGTATACCTGAATTATTAAGCCTTAGAGTCTACAACAATTATTAATTTAAAATTCTAACTTAGTAGTAGTAAGCCCGACGTAATTATTAATCTTTGTCATCTCAACAAGAACTTGGGATCAGCTTATTAGTTTTGTATCAGGACTCATTGTTTAGGTACGGGTGGCAATCGAAGTTTAATGCTGATACTTAGCGAAACTAGTGGCTACAGGTATCTTTGCAAAGTACGGTATTTTGCGTTCATTATTATCCCCGAGAGATATCAACCTGAAATGTGACACGAGACCTCTTCCTTGAGCTCGTTGGTTTAACTAATACTCACGTAGTCGACTTATATAGCCTCGTGTTCTTTCTAGTAAGATTTTAGAGTACGTATAAGTAAATTTAGGATCTTTGATTAAGCTGCATGTGCGTGGCTGTGTATCGACGGTTCCTAGTGGCTCAGTGGCGGAATGATGTACAACGAGACCTGGTTTCAATTAATGGCAGGTCAGAACATACATTATGTTCTCGTAAAAGTGCTGACCCCTATGGATCATTCAGCGCCTCTGAATACCTAAATTCTCTCTTTATGCAAGTATTCACCAGATAGTCTCAGAAGGTAAATAAATATTTCCAGAAATCTTGAGCAATACTTTAATGTAGTTGATTCAGGGTTCATGACTGACTAATTTATCTTCCAGGAAGAAGTTACAATCCTCGGGGGTAGAGACAACTGAACGGTCAGGTAAACACGGGGAAAGGAATGCTTGTGTTGGGCTGAGTGTCTCAAGTTAGGGAGCTCTCTCTCTTTCTTTCTCGACTCCATCAAGCAGCTCTCTTACAGATAAACAGCCTGGTAAATAACTTATATACAAATAGATAACATGCAACATTAGCAACCCTCATTAACTCAACATGGTTCACATGGTTGGTTTGGAAACACTTGGTCAAGTTTCAAACATAACATGGTAATTACTGTGACAATCCCTTGTGGTAAAAATTACTGTGCTATAATGCAGTAACGAAATATTTTGCATCTCAATAAGTATCAATCTGCATACTTGGCAAGATAATTGCACATCAGTGATGTACGCTATTAAATGTACACCAGGAATCCTACATATATACTCCTTATATACATACTCATATAATCTCTTCATTACATAACAAAATATCATAAATCTATAAAATATCTTAAACAAGTCTTCGTAAACAGGCATGTACTGTTCTATCATTAGCCAAGCACACAAAAGGTAGAATGTTTTAGTTATATTGAGCCTGGGTATTCTGTGTTATTCAGGTTATAGGGAGAAGACTTTCTCCTTTTGTGTTCTATAGCCACAGTAAGAAGTCCACCACCTGGGTGTTGCATAACAGTACAAAATAATACAATGGAATACACCAAAAACTTCTAACATTGTCTTGACCAACACAGTTGATTCTTAGCAGTATTTAACATCTGAGCTCAAAGAAATACCAAACTTAGCACGTCAAAGATTGTCTTCTCCAAGGTTGGCATTATCAACATTAGCAACTCAATTGTTTACGTAAGAAGCAAAGATATCATTTACTTTAAACATAAAATCAAATCGTATCATGAGACACAGTCCCACATATACAACAAAAAATATTTAATATATATTTCCCAAAACCTAAAAACAGCAAAAAAAATTCAACAGCAACAAAATTACAACCAGGCCTCAATACATATATATGCCTTATTAAAGTTGCATTTCGTATAGCAAGATCTTTTGGATATTATTTTGGCCTCACAATTAAAAAAAAAAGATGCAATGGAAAAGGTCAAATTGTGTTATAAGTGATATGATTTACACTGAGAGACATTCCTCCACACGAGGCATATTTCAACCTGAAACGTAAGCAAATGATTCAGAGAACCATTAGACACACGTGCAACACAAGTGTTGAACATGTTTCTAATATATCAATATGTTTCAACCTATTTGACCTGCTGTAGAGATATAAAAGTGTATTCTGTAACATACATCATTTCAGAAAATAGGGTCACTATCTTTACTTCGTATTAATCCATGATATGTTCACCAGTGAAAGTTTAGGGCCAATTAATTTTCTAGTTAAATTTTTATTGTATTTTCAAAATTATGTGACTATTTCCTTGGGTTTATAAAATAGTGACCTTTTTACAAAATTAATAAGGAATTGAAAATATATAGCTAACTATAAGTGTTCGGTGTGTGTCTCTCTAACAGTCCAATTACTGTTTTATCAACTGTCACAAAGATATATGTATATATATATAGAGGTAGGCATCTCTAGGTACAGAGTTTGCTTTAATCACTATTTTAGGGATCAGAGTATTCTTGACTGGTGGTGAATAGGTTACATAGAACCTTATTGACCTTTGTATAGTCGACAGGCTTTAAACCCCATTAATTTACCAACCAGCCAAATCTTTAATACCGTCACTAAGTATGCACTACCTGTCTGTATCATTCCTAATACTATGGGTAAAGGCATGACAGTATCGACAGTATGCGGGAAACGTTTCGCCACTGGTGATGTTTTCTCCAATCCTAGGACTGAGAAAGCCACCAATGACGGAACGTTTCTTTCAATAAAATGTCCTAAGTAGACGTATGTGTGTCTGTTGTAACTAATACTTCTGTCAAGTACCTAATACCGTCTCTCAGAGTGTGCAATGTCTCTCTGTCTCCATAAAGTTTTGCCAACAGTCTAATTCTATTCCTCTTTGTGTGTACTGTCTCTGTAACAGACCAAACACTCCTTTTCAACCATCTGATACCATTCTAAGAATGCAGTGTCTCTCTATGTAAGAGACTGGACACTTCTCTCAAATGTCGTTCCTTCACAAACCAGCCTTCGTGAGCCAAATAACAACTGAACATCAATAACAATAACAATTACACGGAGTTCATTCTCCGTTGGAGCACTCAGATATACCTGGCTCCGTCGGAGCACTCTCAGGTATACCTGGCTCCGTTGGAGCACTCTCAGGCATACCTGGCTCCGTTGGGGCACTCTCAGGCATACATAAGGTAATAAAAACAATATTTCAGTCTCTTCTGGCATTTCCAGTGTCATGTCTTGAGACTTACGTCTTCCACATTATGAATCCAGAATTATTTCTTCATATTCCTCGTTATTCTGTAAAGAATTATGTCACGTGTTATACTATAATTCTCCTCATAAATATAATTCATAAGGATTATAGCAACTGTCACAGTTTGGGGTAATGTAATTCGTTACATTAGTTTCAGAACACTGATGAGTATTAGTTTGCAACACGTTATCACGATTAGTTCTGTATATTTTTTTGTCATCAAGGGTTCAGGGTTCAGGGTGGTAGGGGGTTGCAGGTTCTAAAGGGTTTCATTCCACTCGGTGTTCAAATTTTCATTTTTTTACCTCCTTTGAGAGGAAGTGAAGAACATAGTGAAGAACAAGGTCATAACAGTACTTGTACTCCGTCTGTGTGAGAGAGAACAGATGAGAAACATTTAGGATTGAAACTCACAATTGTAACTGAGCGAGAGTTCAGTCCGGTGATCAGTGTCGGGAAGTGCTCCAGGCTGGTGAAGGGCTCTTGATCCGGGAAATGGGACGTTCCGTCCCTTTCCTCGGATCTGTCGTGCTTATCTTTTTTTTTTACCCAGGCACTGTACGGCTCCTTTGGGTTTAGTGCTTCCCATAATAATAATAATAATAATAATAATAATAATAATAATAATAATAATAATAATAATAATAATACAAATAATAGTAATAATAATAATCTTGCTAAGTAAAATACTATCATCTGATATTCTAAATCTATAACAAATTACTGGACTCATGTGGTTGTATCCTGCACATAAATATCAACTGCACCTGCACTAAATAAGTTGCAAGTTCAGAACTGAAAAATAAATAAAAATATACAGGTTTATTGATTAAATTTCAATACAACATCTGAAAAAATTGTATATTGAAACTAAATACACACACACACACACACACACACACACACACACACATACACACACACACACACACACACACACACACACACACACACACACACACACACACACACACACATACAAAATACTGAGAGGAATTGACAAGGTAGACAAAGACAGGATGTTCCAGAGACTGGACACAGCAACAAGGGGACACAGTTGGAAGTTGAAGACACAGATGAATCAAAGGGATGTTAGTAAGTATTTCTTCAGATACAGAGTAGTCAGTAAGTGGAATAGTTTGGGAAGCGATGTAGTGGAGTCAGGATCCATACATAGCTTTAAGCAGAGGTACGATAACGCTCATGGTTCAGGGAGAGTGACCTAGTAGCGACCAGTGAAGAGGCGGGGCCAGGAGCTTGGACTCGACCTCTGCAACCTCAACTAGGTGAGTACAACTAGGTGAGTACACACCACACACACACACGCACACACACAACACACAACACAACAACACACACACCACCAACACACATACACACACCAACGCACACACACACACACATCACACACATCACAACACACACGACACACACACACACACAACACACACACACACACACACACACACACAACCACACACACACATACACACACACACACACACCACACACACAACACAAACACACACACACACACACAACACATACACACACACACCACACACACAACACATACACACACACACACACACACACACACACACACACACACACACACAACACACAACACACACACAACACACATACACACACACACACACACCACACACACACAACATCACACACACACACAACACCACACACACAACACACACACACACACACACCACATCACACACACACACACACACACACACACACAACACACACACCCACACACATACACACACACACACACGCACACACACAAACATACACACATACACACACATACACATACACACACACATACACACACATACACATACACACACACACACACACACACACACATACACACACACACACACGCACACACACAAACATACACACACACACACACACACACATACACACACACACACACACACACACACACACACACACACACACACACACATTTCCTCTCTCTTAGTCCCTTCAAGAGAAAATACTTTAATGCTGGTGAAAACCTCTTGATCCAAGGAACTGGAGCTACCCTCCCGTTGCTTGGATTAAACCTGATTACCTTCCATTCTCCAGACACTGTTATGACTTCTCCAATTGTTCAAATTAAAACTGCTGAATTTTCACTAATATTAAGTAAATAATATTGTACATCCTGCTAGCCTGACGACCCCCCCGTCCCTCCGTCCCTCCGTCCCCCCCGTCCCTCCGTCCCCCCGTCCCTCCGTCCCTCCGTCCCCCCCGTCCCCCCCGTCCCCCCGTCCCTCCGTCCCCCCCCGTCCCCCCGTCCCCCCGTCCCTCCGTCCCCCCCGTCCCCCGTCCCTCCGTCCCCCCCGTCCCCCGTCCCTCCGTCCCCCCGTCCCCCCCGTCCCCCCAGCCCTCCGTCCCTCCGTCCCCCAGCCCTCCGTCCCCCAGCCCTCCGTCCCCCAGCCCTCCGTCCCCCCAGCCCTCCGTCCCTCCGTCCCCTTGCCCCTCCGTCCCTCCGTCCCCCCGACCCTCTGTCCCTAGTCCATCCGTCCCCCGTCCACCCGGCTCTCCGTCCCCCGGCCCTCCGACCCCCTGTCCCCCGGACCCTCCGTCCCCCCGTCCCCCGGGCCCTCCGTCCCCCGTTCCCCGGCCCTCCGTCCCCCATCCCGCGTCCCCATGGCCTTCCATCCCATGTCCCCCCGGCCCTCCGTCCCCCCTTCCTCCCGGCCATCCGTCCCACCGTCCCCCCGTCCTCCGTCCCTCTGTCCTCCGTCCCTCCGTTTCCCCTTCCCTCGTCCCCCGTCCCCGTCCCTCCATCCCCAGTCCCTCCGTCCACCGTCCCTCCGCCCCCCTTCCCCCCTGTCCGCCCGTCCACCCGTCCCTTCCTCTCCCTATCCCCCGTCCCCGTCTCCCCGTCCCCCGTCACCCCATCCCCCGTCCCCCTGTCCCTCCATTCTCCGTCCCTCCGTCCCGCGTCCTCCGTCACTCCGTCCCCCGTCCGTCCGTCCCTGCGTCCCTCCGCCCCACTTTCACCCGTTCGCCCGTCCTCCCGTCCCTCAATCACTCCGTCACCCCGTCCACCCGTCCCCTCCTCTCCACGTCCCTCAATCCCCCCGTCCACCCGTCACCTCCTCTCCCCGTCCCCCCATCCCCCATCCCCCCGTCCCCCTGTCCTCTAGCGCCTAGGATACGACCCCTCAGCAACCCCAGTAATACCCAGGTACCTATTGTTTGCTAGGTGAACGAGGGAATCAGGACATTTAACTCATACGTCTCACCCTCTCCACGGTTTAAACCATCGGAGCAGAGTGGGTTTAGGGGTGGGACTCTGTAGGAGTGGGACTAACCATGTTGGAGTGGGACTAACCATGTTGGAGTGTGACTGACCATGTTGGAGGGGGACTGACCATGTTGGAGTGGAATTAACCATGTTGGAGTGGAACTAACCACGTTGAAGTGTGACTGACCATGTTGGAGTGGAATTAACCATGTTGGAGTGGGACTATGTTGGAGTGGGACTAGCCATGTTGGTGTGGGACTAACCATGTTGGAGTGGGGTTAACTATGTTGGAGTGGGACTAACCATGTTGGAGTGAGTCTGACCATGTTGGAGTGGGATTAACCATGTTGCAATGTGACTATGTTGGAGTGGGACTGACCATGTTGGAGTGGGAATGACCATGTTGGAGTGGGAATGACCATGTTGGAGTGGGACTGACCATGTTGGAGTGGGGTTAACCATGTTGGAGTTGGAGTGACCATGTTGGAGTGGGATTAACAATGATGGAATGGGACTAACCTTATAGGAGAGGGACTAACCATGTTGGAGAGGGACTATGTTGGAGTTCGACTAACCATGTTGGAGTTGGAGTGACCAAGTTGGAGTGGGACTAACCATGTTGGAGTGGGACTAACCATGTTGGAGTGGGACTAACCATGTTGGAGTGGGACTAACCATGTTATTGGTGAGCTGGGGTCGGTGCCGCCTGACAGTGTGGACGGCCTGGAAGACGTCCACTTCACCGTGCTGGATCACTTGCTCGATGCAAGCGTTGGCTGCACAGTACACTCCTGCGCGACTCATACCATCTCTAAGGACAAAGATTTATTAGATAATTAGCAACATTTCGGTGGAGATTCACCCATTATCAAGTCTGTGTTGAAAGGCGAGATTTGCATACAAATATGGTAAAGAATATGCAGTGGAGGAGCACTATGTTAAGCAACCGCTGAATAATGCGAAAAAATTATATAATTAAACACTGATCGTGGAGTGCAATAAATACTTAAAAAATAATCTTTCCTACGTAATATATATATATATATATATATATTATATATATATATATATATATATATATATATATATATATATATATGTTGGTAGACAGCAACCACCCGGGGAAGTACTACCGTCCTGCCAGATGACTGTGAAACAAAAACCTGTAACTGTTTTGCATGATGGTAGGATTGCTGGTTTCTTTTTCTGTCTCATAAACACGCTAAGATAACAGGGATATTCTTGCTACTCCTACTTACACTTTGGTCACACTTCACAGACACGCACATGCATATATATATATACATACATCTAGGTTTTTTCCCTTTTTCTAAATAGCTCTTGTTCTTTTTTATTTCTTCTATTGTCCATGGGGAAGTGGAAAAGAATCTTTCCTCCGTAAGCCATGCGTGTCGTATGAGGCGACTAAAATGCCGGGAGCAATGGGCTAGTAACACCCTTCTCCTGTATACAATTACTAAAAAAGAGAAGAAGAAAAACTTTATAAAACTGGGTTGCTTAAATGTGCGTGGATGCAGTGCGGATGACAAGAAACAGATGATTGCTGATGTTATGAATGAAAAGAAGTTGGATGTCCTGGCCCTAAGCGAAACAAAGCTGAAGGGGGTAGGAGAGTTTCAGTGGGGGAAATAAATGGGATTAAATCTGGAGTATCTGAGAGAGTTAGAGCAAAGGAAGGGGTAGCAGTAATGTTAAATGATCAGTTATGGAAGGAGAAAAGAGAATATGAATGTGTAAATTCAAGAATTATGTGGATTAAAGTAAAGGTGGATGCGAGAAGTGGGTCATAATAAGCGTGTATGCACCTGGAGAAGAGAGGAATGCAGAGGAGAGAGAGAGATTTTGGGAGATGTTAAGTGAATGTATAGGAGCCTTTGAACCAAGTGAGAGAGTAATTGTGGTGGGGATCTGAATGCTAAAGTAGGAGAAACTTTTAGAGAGGGGTGGTAGGTAAGTTTGGGGTGCCAGGTGTAAATGATAATGGGAGCCCTTTGATTGAACTTTGTATAGAAAGGGGTTTAGTTATAGGTAATACATATTTTAAGAAAAAGAGGATAAATAAGTATACACGATATGATGTAGGGGGAAATGACAGTAGTTTGTTGGATTATGTATTGGTAGATAAAAGACTGTTGAGTAGACTTCAGGATGTACATGTTTATAGAGGGGCCCAGATATATCAGATCACTTTCTAGTTGTAGCTACACTGAGAGTAAAAGGTAGATGGGATACAAGGAGAATAGAAGCATCAGGGAAGAGAGAGGTGAAGGTTTATAAACTAAAAGAGGAGGCAGTTAGGGTAAGATATAAACAGCTATTGGAGGATAGATGGGCTAATGAGAGCATAGGCAATGGGGTCGAAGAGGTATGGGTAGGTTTAAAAATGTAGTGTTAGAGTGTTCAGCAGAAGTTTGTGGTTACAGGAAAGTGGGTGCAGGAGGGAAGAGGAGCGATTGGTGGAATGATGATGTAAAGAGAGTAGTAAGGGAGAAAAAGTTAGCATATGAGAAGTTTTACAAAGTAGAAGTGATGCAAGGAGGGAAGAGTATATGGAGAAAAAGAGAGAAGTTAAGAGAGTGGTGAAGCAATGTAAAAAGAGAGCAAATGAGAGAGTGGGTGAGATGTTATCAACAAATTTTGTTGAAAATAAGAAAAAGTTTTGGAGTGAGATTAACAGTTAAGAAAGCCTAGAGAACAAAGGATTTGTCAGTTAAAAAATAGGAGAGGAGAGTTATTAAATGGAGAGTTAGAGGTATTGGGAAGATGGAAGGAATATTTTGAGGAATTGTTAAATGTTGATGAAGATAGGGAAGCTGTGATTTCGTGTATAGGGCAAGGAGGAATAACATCTTGTAGGAGTGAGGAAGAGCCAGTTGTGAGTGTGGGGGAAGTTCGTGAGGCAGTAGGTAAAATGAAAGGGGGTAAGGCACCCGGGATTGATGGGATAAAGATAGAAATGTTTAAAAGTAGGTGGGGATATAGTTTTGGAGTGGTTGGTGCAATTATTTAATAAATGTATGGAAGAGGGTAAGGTACCTAGGGATTGGCAGAGAGCATGCATAGTTCCTTTGTATAAAGGCAAAGGGGATAAAAGAGAGTGCAAAAATTATAGGGGGATAAGTCTGTTGAGTGTACCTGGTAAAGTGTATGGTAGAGTTATAATTGAAAGAATTAAGAGTAAGACGGAGAATAGGATAGCAGATGAACAAGGAGGCTTTAGGAAAGGTAGGGGGTGTGTGGACCAGGTGTTTACAGTGAAACATATAAGTGAACAGTATTTAGATAAGGCTAAAGAGGTCTTTGTGGCATTTATGGATTTGGAAAAGGCGTATGACAGGGTGGATAGGGGGGCAATGTGGCAGATGTTGCAAGTGTATGGTGTAGGAGGTAGGTTACTGAAAGCAGTGAAGAGTTTTTATGAGGATAGTGAGGCTCAAGTTAGAGTATGTAGGAAAGAGGGAAATTTTTTCCAGTAAAAGTAGGCCTTAGACAAGGATGTGTGATGTCACCGTGGTTGTTTAATATATTTATAGATGGGTTGTAAGAGAAGTAAATGCGAGGTCTTGGCAAGAGGCGTGGAGTTAAAAGATAAAGAATCACACACAAAGTGGGAGTTGTCACAGCTGCTCTTTGCTGATGACACTGTGCTCTTGGGAGATTCTGAAGAGAAGTTGCAGAGAAAGGTGGATGAATTTGGTAGGGTGTGCAAAAGAAGAAAATTAAAGGTGAATACAGGAAAGAGTAAGGTTATGAGGATAACAAAAAGATTAGGTGATGAAAGATTGAATATCAGATTGGAGGGAGAGAGTATGGAGGAGGTGAACGTATTCAGATATTTGGGAGTGGACGTGTCAGCGGATGGGTCTATGAAAGATGAGGTGAATCATAGAATTGATGAGGGAAAAAGAGTGAGTGGTGCACTTAGGAGTCTGTGGAGACAAAGAACTTTGTCCTTGGAGGCAAAGAGGGGAATGTATGAGAGTATAGTTTTACCAACGCTCTTATATGGGTGTGAAGCGTGGGTGATGAATGTTGCAGCGAGGAGAAGGCTGGAGGCAGTGGAGATGTCATGTCTGAGGGCAATGTGTGGTGTGAATATAATGCAGAGAATTCGTAGTTTGGAAGTTAGGAGGAGGTGCGGGATTACCAAAACTGTTGTCCAGAGGGCTGAGGAAGGGTTGTTGAGGTGGTTCGGACATGTAGAGAGAATGGAGCGAAACAGAATGACTTCAAGAGTGTATCAGTCTGTAGTGGAAGGAAGGCGGGGTAGGGGTCGGCCTAGGAAGGGTTGGAGGGAGGGGGTAAAGGAGGTTTTGTGTGCGAGGGGCTTGGACTTCCAGCAGGCATGCGTGAGCGTGTTTGATAGGAGTGAATGGAGACAAATGGTTTTTAATACTTGACGTGCTGTTGGAGTGTGAGCAAAGTAACATTTATGAAGGGATTCAGGGAAACCGGCAGGCCGGACTTGAGTCCTGGAGATGGGAAGTACAGTGCCTGCACTCTGAAGGAGGGGTGTTAATGTTGCAGTTTAAAAACTGTAGTGTAAAGCACCCTTCTGGCAAGACAGTGATGGAGTGAATGATGGTGAAAGTTTTTCTTTTTCGGGCCACCCTGCCTTGGTGGGAATCGGCCGGTGTGATAATAAAAAAAAATATATGTATATATATATATATATATATATATATATATATATATATATATATATATATATATATATATATATACATATATATATATATATATATAAATATTTATTTATTTATGTATTTTAACAAGTCGGCCGTCTCCCACCGAGGCAGGGTGACCCAAAAAGAAAGAAAATCCCCAAAAACAAAATACTTTCATCATCATTCAACACTTTCACCTCACACATAATCACCCCTCCTTTAAAGTGCAGGCATTGTACTTCCCATTTCCAGGACTCAAGTCCGGCTATATAAAAACCGGTTTCCCTGAATCCCTTCACTTAATATTACCCTGCTCACATTCCAACAGCTCGTCAGGTCCCAAATACCATTCGTTTTCATTCACTCCTATCTAACACGCTCACGCACGCTTGCTGGAAGTCCAAGCCCCTCGCCCACGAAACCTCCTTTACCCCCTCACCCCAACCTTATCGAGAGCGACCCCTACCCCGCCTTCCTTCCCCTGCAGATTTATATGCTCTCCATGTCATTTTACTTTGATCCATTCTCTCTAAATGACCAAACCACTTCAACAACCCCTCTTCAGCCCTCTGACTAATACTTTTAGTAACTCCACACCTTCTCCTAATTTCCACACTCCGAATTTTCTGCATATTTACACCACACATTGCCCTTAGACAGGACATCTCTACTGCCTCCAACCATCTCGCTGCAGCATTTACAACTCAAGCTTCACACGCATATAAGAGTGTTGGTACGACTATACTTTTATACATTCCCTTCTTTTCCTCCATAGATAACTTTTTTTTGACTCCACATATACCTCAACGCACCACTCACCTTTTTTCCTTCATCAATTCTATGATTAACCTCATCCTTCATAAATCCATCCACTGACACATCAACTCCCAAATATCTGAAAACATTCACTTCTTCCATATTCCTCTCCAATTTGATATCCAGTTTTTCTTTATCTAAATCATTTAATGCTCTCATCACCTTACTCTTTTCTATGTTCACTTTCAACTTTCTACCTTTACACACTCTCCCAGACTCGTCCACTAACCTTTGCAATTTTTCTTTAGAATCTCCCATAAGCACAGTATCATCACCAAAAAGTAACTGTGTCAATTCCCATTTTGTACTTGAGACCCCATAATTTAATCCCACCCCTCTCCCGAACACCCTAGCATTTACTACTTTTACAACCCCATCTATAAATATATTAAACAGCCTTGGTGACATTACACATCACTGTCTAAGACCTACTTTTACTGGGAAGTAGTCTCCCTCTCTTCTACATACCCTAACCTGAGCCTCACTATCTTCATAAACACTCTTTACAACATTTAGTAACTTACTACCTATTCCATATACTTGCAACATCTGCCACATTGCTCCCCTATCCACTTTATCATATGCCTTTTCTAAATCCATAAATGCAATGAAAACTTCCCTACCTTTATCTAAATACTGTTCACATATATGCTTCAATGTAAACACTTGATCTACACATCCCCTAATCACTCTAAAACCTCCTTGCTCATCCGCAATCCTACATTCTGTCTTACCTCTAATTCTTTCAATAATAATCCTACTGTACACTTTTCCTGGTATACTCAGTAAACTAATTCCTCTATAATTTTTACAATCTCTTTTGTCCCCCTTCCCTTAGTATAAAGGAACTATACATGCTCTTTGCCAATCCCTAGGTACCTTCCCCTCTTTCATAAATTTATTAAACAGAAATACCAACCATTCTAACACTATATCTCCTCCTGCTTTTAACATTTCTGTCATGATCCCGTCAGTTCCACCTGCTTTACCCCCTTTCATTCTACGTAATGCCTCACGCACCTCCCCCACACTCACATCCTGCTCTTCTTCACTCGTAAAAGATGGTATACCTCCCTGGCCAGTGCATGAAATTACCGCCTCCCTTTCTTCGTCGACATTTAAAAGTTCCTCAAAATATTCCCGCCATCTACCCAAAACCTCCCTCTCCCCATCTACTAACTCCCCTACTCTGTTTTTAACTGACAAATCCATTCATTCCCTAGGATTTCTTAACTTGTTTAACTCACTCCAAATTTTTTCTTATTTTAATTAAAATTTCTTGATAGTGCCTCTCCCACTCCATCATCTGCTCTCTTTTACTCTCCATATAATCTACTCTTCTTATAACACTTCTGCTTTGTAAAAAACTCTCATAAGCTACCTTTTTCTCTTTTATCACACCATTTACTTCATCATTCCACCAATTACTCCTCTTTCCTCCCGCACCCACCCTCCTATAACCACAAACTTCTGCCCCACATTCTAATGCTATTCCAACCCTCTTCAACACCCCCCACTACTCATACAGCCCACCTTTCTGCCAATAGTTATTTATATCTCACCCGAATTGCCTCCTCCCTTAGTTTATACACTTTTACCTCTCTCTTACTTGTTGTTGCCATTTTCCTCTTTTCCCATCTACCTCTTACTCTAACTGTAGCTACAACTAAATAATGATCCGATATATCAGCTGCCCCTTTATAAACGTGTACATCCTGGAGCCTACCCATCAACCTTTTATCCACCAATACATAATCTAACAAACTTCTTTCATTACGTGCTACATCATAAATTGTATATTTATTTATCTTTTTCATAAAATATGTATTACTTATTACCAAACCTCTTCCTACACATAGCTCAATTAAAGGCTGCTCATTTTCATTTACCCCTGGCACCCCAAATTTACCTACTACTCCGTCCACAACATTTTTACCCACTTTAGCATTGAAATCCCCAACCACAAGTACTCAAACACTTGGTTCAAAATTCCCCCACGCATTCACTCAACATTTCCCAAAATCTCTCTCTCCTCTACACTTTCCTCTTCTCCAAGTGCATATACGCTTACTATAACCCACTTTTCATATCCAACCTTTATTTTACTCCACATAAACCTTGAATTATATATATATATATATATATATATATATATATATATATATATATATATATATATATATATATATTTATATATATATATATATATATATATATATATATATATATATATATATATATATATATATATATATATATATATATATCAATGAAACCACGACCTCACGACACACTGTCCCGCCTCAAGATTGTGCTCCTGCAAGATTGTGGAATCTTTAATACTGACGGAATTCTGCTTTGAGTGAAACACTTGCAAAGGAAACGTCATCTAGCAGGACTTTCCCGCTAGATGATTTCCTGCTTGTCAAGCCGTTGCCACAATAAAATGTCCCACTTGTGTCCTTTTACCTAACATATTGTTGGTAATTTTACCATCATTCTTATTATATATTTTGCTATGAAAGAAGCATGCTCATTCATTCCACTTACTCTCCTTATTACACTTCGACAAGACAATGTAAAACCTTCTGAATTTTTGGCAATTTCCTCGTCTTCAAACACGAGCATTATCATGCCGGAACACTCTTTTATAACTTATCTGTTCTTGAGTGATGTTGCACGTTTCATTAGCTCTCAGTCTTGCAGATTGCACTGTTGCAAGCATACTCTTGATCCTGTTCATCGAGACTGTTATTCAAGTTCCTCAAAATATTAACTCACAGTTCATCTGCGTTCTGGTGATTCATTGCTTTCTTGAAAGTAGTCCAGGTAAATCACACTTTTATCATAAGTTATTTTATTGTCATGACCCATGGGCCACAGATAATGGTCTCAGGGTCCAGTGGTTGTCACGATCCACGGGCCACAGATAATGGTCTCAGGGTCCAGTGGTTGTCACGATCCACGGGCCACAGATAATGGTCTCAGGGTCCAGTGGTTGGCCCACTGGAATACTCTTTTAGGAAAGTAAATTACTTGCCAAATAATATTTCACATATAAAAGCCATAAGTATGATAATATCACTTTACAATTTTATGAACACACACACACGCACACACACACACACACACACACACACACACACACACACACACACACACACACACACACACACACACACACACACACACACACACATACACCTGCAGCACAGCGTGAAATTTTAAAACTCCCGAAAAGCAGTTAGGTTGCTCGGCGACAGTGGAGTACTCACGGGCTGACCACCACCACAGGACCGTAGCCGGTACGTTGTCTCCAGCGCTCCACCATGTTCATCAGTTCGACGAGGGCGTTAGTGGAGGTGGGAACTTTGTGTCCTTGTGGCCAACACATGAGCTGGAAGAGATGGCAGGTCTTGGGCTCTGCCTTGATGCCTGCCATCAGCTCCGTCAGGGACACGATCTGTGTAGAATACATAATACAAAAAGTCTCGTAGTGTGTATGAGTATATACTTCCAAACTGTCTTTTTTTGCACATTAGCAACAATAAATTGGTTTGATAAGACAGTAAACGTTGTAGGAGCAATATAACAAGCCAGACAGATCCATCACTGCTGAACATCAGCTCAGTTAACACTGATGAACCACGGTACCTTCTTGCTGATTTTAAACACCCAGGAGCGGATGTTCTGGTAGTGTTGATGACTCACATGGTCGATGGTAAACACCGACCCATACTTCATGGATTTTTGTTTTTCTGGCCAAAACGGTGGGTAGTTCTGTTGCAGGGAAGGAGTGTGAAGAATTAATCAATGTAAATTAAATCGGAAGGGTTTAGAAAATAAAGTCATAGCATCGATAAAAACTGTGTATACACACAGTTAATTATAATTAACTTTAATGAAAATACAGTTTTCTCAGATTTGGAACCTGTCGACTGCAGGTGTGCCATTAATGCTTTCGCCTATAAATCACCTATTAAGGTGAATTTAGTCCCTGAAATGGGGATTAATACCAAATGTTTTTCTCGTGAGTGTTTCACCGTATGATGCCTCTGCTGGGTCACAGTACAGTGACTGGATCACAATACAGTGGGTCACAATACAATGACTGGATCACAATACAGTGGGTCACAATACAGTGACTGGATCACAATACAGTGGGTCACAATACAGTGACTGGATCACAGTACAGTGGGTCACAATACAGTGACTGGGTCACAATACAATGACTGGGTCACAATACAGTGACTGGGTCACATTAACGTGGGTCTAACAATTCACTTATAACCCACATTAGACAATGGCTCAGCATGGACCACTGTCCATCCGAGACCATAAAGTTGCTGGACCATAAGGTTGCTGGACCATAAGGTCCCTGAACCATAAGTTTTCTGGACCATAAAGTTCCTGGACCATAAGTTTGCTGAACCATAAGGTTCCTGGACCATAAGCTTCCTGGCCCATAAAGTTGCTGGATCACAAGTTTCCTGGACCATATGGTTGCTGGACCATAAGGTTCGTCTCCTAAGTGCCACTGAAGTGGTTCTCTTGCCCTTCCACTTAAGCTGCCACACGAATGAATACGTTAAGTGACACTATAAGTGGATGGTAGGAAAAGTGAATCCCAATACTCCCTTCCTCGGATCATACCTGTTTACCTCCCATTCCTCACGCCCTGTACGACCTTTAGGGTTTAGCGCTTTCCCGTTACTGAAATAAAAATAAATGGGAGAAAAGTGCTGAGATAAAATATATGAAATTATTTCTTCCACTGATGAAGTGAGCGAAACATCAAGTGTAACTAATATTGTTGTTGTCAAATCGATGGAGGAGCGCACACCCGGAGGGGTCAAACGGCTCTTCAAAAATGGGAGATAATTGAAGTTTATCCGAGAAAAAGAGAGGTGAGCTCCAATTCCTTTGATCAAGAGCCCTTAACAGTCTCAAGGGGATGTGTTCAGTGGATTATTATGCAAATTTACACTAAATTCACATATATTTGAAAACAAAATTTTGAGTTTATGTTCTTTGAAAGTTAGAAATTTGCTAATAGTAATAAATTTGAAGTTTAAATTATGATTTCATAACAGACTCATACAGCAACCTAATCTAATCTAATATAATCTAACCTAACCTAATCTAACCTAACCTAACCTAACCTAGCCTAACCTAACCTAACCTAACTTAAAATAACCTAACCTAAGCTAACCTAACCTAACCTAATCTAACCTAACCTAACCTAACCTAACCTAACCTAAAATAACCTAAAATGATCTAACCTAACCTAAAATAATCTAACCTAACCTAAAATAACCAAACCTAACCTAAAATAATCAAACCAAACCTAAGCTAACCAAACCTAGCCTAAAATAACGTAGCCTAACCTAACCTCACCTAACCTAAAATAATCTAACCTAACCTAACCTAACCTAATCTAAACTAATCTAACCTAACTTAACCTAATATAACCTAACCTAACCTAACCTAACCTAAAATAACATAACCTAGCCTAACTTCACCTAACCCAAAATAATCTAACCTAACCTAACCTAACGTAACCTAATCTAACCTAACCTAATCTAAAATAACCTAGTCTAAGCTAACCTAACATAAAATAATCTAACCTAACCTAATCTAATCTAGCCTATCCTAACCTAACCTAACCTAACCTAACATAACCTAACCTAACTTAAAATAACCTAACCTAACATAAAATAATCTAACCTAACCTAACCTAACCTAACCTAACATAAAATAACCTAACCTAACCTAACCTAACCTAACCTAACCTAAACCAACTTAACCTAAAATAACCTAACCTAACCTAAAATAACCTAACCCAATGTAACGTAACGTAACGTAACGTAACCTAATCTAACTAAACGTAACGTAGCGTAACGTAATGTAACGTAACCTAACCTAACCTAAAATAACGTAACGTAACGTAACGTAAATTAACCTAAAATAACCTAACCTAACCTAACCTAAGCTAACTTAACCTAAAATAACCTAACCTAACCTAAGCTAACCTAACTTACCCTAAAATAACCAAATCTAACCTAACTTAAAATAACCTAACCTAAACTAAGCTAACCTAACCTAACCTAAACTAAGCTAACCTAACCTAACCTAAAATAACTTAACCTAACTTAACCTAAAATAACCTAACCTAACCTAACCTAGAATAACCTAATATAACCTAACCTAACCTAAAATAACCTAAGCTAACCTAACTTAACCTAACCTAACCTAGAATAACCTAACCTAACCTAAAATAACCTAACCTAACGAGATGTAACTTAATCTAACCTAACCTAACCTAAGACAGCCTAACTAAGCCGCCACCTGACCTGGCTTATCATAAGCTGTCTACGAATCTTCGTAACGATTCTTGTTGTTTTCTTGAGTAGGGGAAGAGATGCTGGGTAGGAGGGGAAGTTGTCTTTGGTAGGAGAGACGGGACCTTGGGGAGGGGGTAATGGGCTCTGGGGCAGGGGGAAAAAGAACTTTAGGGAGGGTGGGGAAAAGACTTCGGCAGGGCAAAACAAGGACCTTGGGTAGGGGGCCAATAGGACCTTAGGAAGGGGGGAATGGGATCTTGGGTAGGGGGATGGGACCTTGGGTAGGGGGAATGGGACCTTGGGTAGTGGGAATGGGACCTTGGGTAGGGGGAAATGGGACCTTGGGTAGGGGGAAATGGGACCTTGGGTAGGGGGAATGGGACTTTGGGTAAGGGGGAATGGGACCTTGGGTAGGGGGGAATGGAACATTGATAGGGATAATGGGACCTTGGGTAGGAGGAATGGGACCTTGGTAGGGGGAATGGGACCTTGGGTAGGAGGGAATGGGACCTTGGTAGGGGGAATGGGACCTTGGGCAGGAGGAATGGGACCTTGGGTAGGAGGAAAGGGACCTTGGGTAGGGGGGAATGGGACCTTGGTAGAGGAAATGGGACCTTGGGTAGGAGGAATGGGACCTTGGGTAGGGGGAAAGGGGACCTTGGTAGAGGGAATGGGACCTTGGGTAGGAGGAATGGGACTTTCGGTAGGGGGAAATGGGACCTTGGGTAGGGGGGAATGGGTCCTTTAGTAGGGGAATGGGACCTTGGGTAGCGGGGAATAGGACCCTGGGCAGGGAGAGAATGGGATCTTTGGGAGGGGGAAAATGGGATCTTGGGCAGGGGGAAAAGGGACCTTAGGCAAGGAGACTTGGACCACGGGTAGGGGGGAAATGGAACCTTACGCAGGGGGATATATGACCTTGGGCAGGGGGGGATGGGACCTTGGGCAGGGAGGGATGGGACCTTGGGCAGGGAGGGATGGGACCTTGGGCAGGGGGGGATGGGACCTTGGGCAGGGGGAGAATGGGACCTTGGGCAGGGGGATCGGGATGGGACCTTGGGCAGGCGATAATAGAATCTTTAGGGGACACAATTATTTTAATAATATAATTAAATTCCAGCAATAATAGATAATTATACAATAAGCTTTAGTATGTACAATGTGTTAAGCACATAACACCTAGCTGGGAGAAACTCAGCACTCAAGGTGGCACACCTAGGAACTGGCATAGCATCAATATAAACTAAAACGTGTGTAATGAGATGCAGCATCCAGAGGAACACACCTGGGTAAGATAAATTACTTGGAAATTGCAATAGAAGAAAAAAACACAACAGGACTGAAACGGAAGACTGAGATAAAAGAATTAGATGAAAGATTTAAGTGGAAAATTTAAGATGAAATATTTAAGTGGATTATTGTCATGTCAATGGTAGATATTTACTGGAGTCTGAGTGTGACCAGAGATTCGTGAAGCTGTGGGAGTAGATTCATCTGGGAGTGAACTTGAACCTACGTAACAACAATACCGTGTAACAAAAGCCAGTGTTACTGGATCTTGGTGTTTGTTAACTGAACTTTCACTAACACTCACAGCATTATGTATGAAAAGTGCTTTAAAAACCCATGATTAGATCCTTTCTTTACAAGTGCTAAAGTGTCTGATCTCTTGTAAATGAGAATAGACGCTCTCATTAATTTTAAATTACTAATAAATTTCTCATTAAATTATGTGAGAGATAACTACCATTAATACAATATTTGCGTACCTTTATCACCATAATAACCATCGTTAATTGCATTTTGGAGACGGGGGGGGGGAGAAAATTTCTCCTCTATTAAAACAATCAAAGCAAACAAATTAAGAAAAATATATTGTGAGTCTTGGCTAAAAAATAATTAATTTAATTTTATACTGAAAATAAACGCAATATGAAAAAAGCAAAAGTACTTCGACCTCTCAATTTAAACACAATGAAAAATATTCCATTATGCAAGAAAAAAGTTAATGCTATTAGTTAACTGAATCACCAAAAGAAATCGTACGTGAATAGTATGCAACACCTGCAAGATGAAGACTTAAGACACACGTGCAACATCTGTGGTTCAACATCTGTGGTTCTTTAAAGAAGCCCAGATGTTGCACGTGCGTCTAATGCTTCGTCAAAAAAATTATCAGCCCAAAAAATTAACATCCAAAAAATTTAACATACAGAAAATTTAACATCGAAGTATTTATTCTGTATTAACAAAAGGGGACAATTTTGGATTTGTTTGATCATTCGGTTGACTGATTATACAGACAAGAAGGCTGTTGAGGCAGGGTACGTGTCTCCCCCTGGCAAGCACCACACAGCTGCTGAGGCAGGACAGGTGTCTCCCCCTGGCAAGCATCACACAGCTGCTGAGGCAGGGCAGGTGTCTCCCCCTGGCAAGCACCACACAGCTGGTGAGGCAGGACAGGTGTCTCCCCCTGGCAAGCACCACACAGCTGCTGAGGCAGGGCAGGTGTCTCCCCCTGGCAAGCACCACACAGCTGCTGAGGCAGGGCAGGTGTCTCCCCCTGGCAAGCACCACACAGCTGGTGAGGCAGGACAGGTGTCTCCCCCTGGCAAGCATCACACAGCTGCTGAGGCAGGACAGGTGTCTCCCCCTGGCAAGCATCACACAGCTGCTGAGGCAGGGCAGGTGTCTCCCCCTGGCAAGCACCACACAGCTGGTGAGGCAGGACAGGTGTCTCCCCCTGGCAAGCACCACACAGCTGCTGAGGCAGGGCAGGTGTCTCCCCCTGGCAAGCACCACACAGCTGGTGAGGCAGGACAGGTGTCTCCCCCTGGCAAGCACCACACAGCTGCTGAGGCAGGGCAGGTGTCTCCCCCCTGGCAAGCACCACACAGCTGCTGAGGCAGGGCAGGTGTCTCCCCTGGCAAGCACCACACAGCTGGTGAGGCAGGACAGGTGTCCCCCTGGCAAGCACCACACAGCTGCTGAGGCAGGGCAGGTGTCTCCCCCTGGCAAGCACCACACAGCTGCTGAGGCAGGGCAGGTGTCTCCCCCTGGCAAGCACCACACAGCTGGTGAGGCAGGACAGGTGTCTCCCCCTGGCAAGCACCACACAGCTGCTGAGGCAGGGCAGGTGTCTCCCCCTGGCAAGCACCACACAACAAAGACAAACAAGAAGAATGGTTCACCTCTCGTCTTACTACGTGTGGTTCCCTATTTTGGTGCAGCTGAATTACTGTTTTTGCAAGACGTCTAAAATAAGACAGTCTCTTGGTTAAATTCTTGGAAATGCTGGATTTTTTTTTATCACCACTGAGGACTAAGATAAGATAAGATTTCGTTCGGATTTTTAACCCCGGAGGGTTAGCCACCCAGGATAACCCAAGAAAGTCAGTGCGTCATCGAGGACTGTCTAACTTATTTCCATTGGGGTCCTTAATCTTGTCCCCCAGGATGCGACCCACACCAGTCGACTAACACCCAGGTACCTATTTGCTGCTAGGTGAACAGGACAACAGGTGTAAGGAAACGTGTCGAAATGTTTCCACCCGCCGGGAATCGAACCCGGGCCCTCCGTGTGTGAAGCGGGAGCTTTAGCCACCAGGCCACCGGGCCACCATTAGTGTTCGAAGTTCACACACATTGAATTAGAACATCTACTGCAACAGCTGCACGAAAGATGTAATTGAATATAATAGAAAGGACATGACTCACGAAATCGTAATGACGCGATTGCAAACAAACCACACCACGGGTGGGGTTTGAACCCGTGGTCAGAAAGTCTCAAAACGCGACGGTCTGGAGTTTTGAGACTCTCTGACCGCGGGTTCAAACCCCACCCGTGGCATGGTTTTTTTTTTAGAAAGGACAGTTTCTAAGACATGCTTATATAGGAATCCTGTAGGGAAGAACAAGTCAATGTTTCATATATTAACAAAAATATATTTGCTTTTTCTAATATTTTAGCAAAATTTAAATGATCGAGGGAGAATATATTAAATATATCATTAACTTCTACTGTCATAATCATCCTCTGCTTTGGGAAGAAACAAACTCTTGTCCAGCTGCTGTCTGAACGTGAAGAAAATTTTGGTCTTCTAATGTGCTGCTATCTCAATCAAATTTCTGACTGAGGATCATAATTAGACACAACTTATTTTGTTGGGCTCTTGTTTGTGAGAGTAGAATCAAAGATACAATAAAAGTTAAGCAAAATACTGAAACTTGCTGAGTGAAGGAATCTGACAAAGAACTTCTGCCAGCAGGAATGAGCGTTGGGTAAATGAATATATATGCAACTTAACGAAACAGTAATTGGGGCAAGATTGCGTTCACAAGGGTCGTTGTCAAGCCAATACATCCATTACATGGACGATGCCTTCATAAACGTTGCGTTAAGTTTAATACGTGTCCATATACCCAACTCTGGTTGGTATTACTGCCAGTAATGATGCAGGAAGGGATGTCTAGCCAATGCACTAAAAAGTCTGGAAAAAAAAGACTGTCGGGAATTCATTTGTCTTTGTAATGTGAAATTTTACTCATTTAAATAAAAAGTGAATAAAAGGCATACATAACTAGCAACAATATGATCAAAGTTCCATCACCAAACATTGATAAAAAAACATCCAAGAGTAATGGGCTGTGTTGCTTATATTCATATAAGGAACACGACTCACTGTGGGAAGTAATAATGGAAATAATATCTTATTAATAGGTGAAAACACACCAAAATATTTTCACATCATGTATTCCAAGTGTCAATTCAATGAGCAGGTAAGGTAAGGGTGTCTCTTAACACATTAACTTAATATAGAGCATTCATACCACAACGTTTGTGGGGTTACACAGTAACACCACAGCAGTACAATCATGGTCAAAAACCAGAGACCAAAGATCTCCAATGGTCTGGGACGTGGGCCACTCCGTCACAATGTAGTCTCGTGGGTGGGTGTAACCCTGCAAAGAGGGGACCAATCTCCTTGGGCACTGCAGCAGTGTCTTGCTAAAGAAATATCAATCATATAGAACTAGAGTGCTTACAACGTTCTGGACGTGGCTGTGTTGGCGAACCAGGAAAACAAATGAAAAATCAAGACAGAATAAGGATTCAAGTCCTATGAGACAAATTTGTTTTTCTCAGATTCTACGACAATAATAAAAGAAATGAAGCCGAAGATCAGTTGTAAGCACTGTAGCTGTACACTGAGTGTGAGGCTGGACGTGAGTGCATCTTAAAACACGAAGGCAGGTATCCAAGGTACTCCAAGTTAAGAGGATGTTTAAGAAAAGCATCAGCAGATATAGAAATACTTATACCATATAACGATGATATGAATAATATAAACATATCTCAATACTGATGGCATTATAGTTATTAAACCTTGCCTACGTGGGATATATATGTCTATATATATATATATATATATATATATATATATATATATATATATATATATATATATATATATATATATATATATATATATATATATATATATTATATATATATATATATAACCATGTTCATAATACATAAAGTATTTCTTGCTATTCTGCTGTTGCTTTACAAATATGGTGTTTAAAAAAGTGTTTTGATGGCAGAAATTGTACACACAAAACCTTTATTTTCTCGTGTACATCCCTCTGTTCCTGCGGATTAAACTCTTTTTATTATCATGGTAACATCAAAACACTTTGTTAAAGATTATATAGCGAGAATTAAGATTAACATTTCATGAGCACTGGGTTTGCTAAGCATCTTACCGAGGCCTCCAGGGGTGAGGGTTGACACAGGACTACGACGGAGGTCACCTCGTGGTCATACACGAGAGACCAAAAGTCGGAGATGGTTGACTTCAGAGGCCACTCGGACACTATGTATTCACGTGGCCTCAAGTACCCCTTCGGAGTCGCCACAAAACACGTGCGGGAAAAGGCATGGGGGGCAATATGAGGTCAAGAGGGTCAGAGAGATGGGAAGGGTGGTGACTCACAAGGTGACTTGAGATGGGGAGGGTGGTGACTTACAAGGTGACTTGAGATGGGGAGGGTGGTGACTTACAAGGTAACTTGAGGAGATGGGGTTCTAACCTAAGGTGTGCATGGTGCTTTCTCAAACTTGTTGGGATGCAACGGGAAATACTTCAAAAATGGCAAACAAAAGTTTTTCCATTAACTTTAAAAAAGCACAATGGATGCAAAAATCAATGAAGCACAGACAAAAAAGACAAAAAAAAAATAAACATGCGTAGAATAAATGGGAGTTCGAAAACAGTGGCATTTAAAAAAAATTGTGGTTATTGTGATATGTGAAGAGGTTGAAAACTGCCTCTGTGGATGTCTAAAGTAACTTACAATTAAAGAGAAAATACTATACTTGCACTACATATGACAGTATATATTATATTACATATAACACTTAACTGGCACATTGAAAATTACTATAAGGGAACAAACTTTTACAATATTATATCAGATGCATAAATTTATACAAATTTAAGTTAATTTTAAAGATCATCAATTTACCATATATAAAAAAATACTGAAATAATATTGATAGAATTACTTGACAGAGCTTCTAAAGAGCGAAACGTAGCAGCAATAAAATATCTCATTAGCTGCACACGTGTCCTTTTACCTAACAAATACTGAAGCTAAGACACTAGCATATACTTACATCAACACAAACTGCGTTAATATAATCGGTATTGGTGTTACCCTGGAACGACGTGATGTACGGTCTGAAGTTGTCAGCTGTCAACAAGCATAAACTCAGGTTAGATTTTCTTTTGGCTTTAAATTTATGATAGATTTTCTGTTCATCATAATTTAAAAGCACATGCAAAAATACCGTGAGATACATTATATCAGATATTGTAGATAACTGTGGTAAAAAAAAACACGCATGTTAAGTTGTGATTATTTAACAGAATGATATCTTTAGTCTGACAGTCTTGAAGAAAACGTTTCGCCACAAGCGGCTTCTTCAGCTTGTATGGCGAAACATTTCCTTAAATAGAGAGAGAGAGAGAGAGAGAGAGAGAGAGAGAGAGAGAGAGAGAGAGAGAGAGAGAGGAGAGAGAGAGAGAGAGAGAGAGAGAGAGAGAGAGAGAGAGAGAGAGAGAGAGAGAGAGCAGTATGACAGTCCTTCCATCTTTGACAAACCAAGTCAGTATCTGAGCTCAGCACTCTTCTTCTTCTTCTTCTTCTTCTTCTTCTTCTTTCTTCTTTCTTTTTTCTCTTCTTCTCTTCTTCCCTTCTTCTTCTTTTCTTCTCTCTTCTTCTTCTTCTTCTTCTTCTTCTTCTTCTTTCTTCTTCTTCTTCTTTTCTTCTTCTTCTTCTTCTTCTTCTTCTTCTTCTTCTTCTTCTTCTTCTCTTCTTCTTCTTCTTCTTCTCCTTCTTCTTCTTCTTTTCTTCTTCTTCTTCTTCTTCTTCTTCTTCTTCTCTTCTTCTTCTTCTTCTTCTTCTTCTTCTTCTTCTTCTTCTTCTCCTTCTTCTTCTTCTTCTTCTTCTTCTTCTTCTTTCTTCTTCTTCTTCTTCTTCTTCTTCTTCTTCTTCTTTTCTTCTTCTTCTTCTTTCTTCTTTTCTTCTTCTTCTTTCTTCTTCTTCTTCCTTCTTCTTCTTCTTCTTCTTCTTCTTCTTCTTCTTCTTCTTCTTCATTCTTCTTCTTCTTCTTCTTTCTTCTTCTTCTTCTTCTTTCTTCTTCTTCTTCTTCTTTCTTCTTCTTCTTCTTCTTCTTCTTCTTTCTTCTTCTTCTTCTTCTTCTTCTTCTTCTTCTTCTTCTTCTTCTTCTTCTTCTTCTTCTTATTCTTCTTCTTCTTCTTCTTCTTCTTCTTCTTCTTCTTCTTCTTTCTTCTTCTTCTTCTTCTTCTTCTTCTTATTCAACAGAAAGCGAGATAATGGTCAACATTAGAAGGAACATTTACTCTCCTCATAGAAAATAGATTAAATTCCAAAAATGGTGAGAACATCACAACGACCCGTGCATATGGTGATGTACATACACTGTGGGTATCACCACACCCTGTACAACCACGGTCCACATGTCGAAATGAAATAAAGTATATAGATGATGGTGGCCTCTAGGAGATGGTGGTAAAGGAAGGATCTCAAAGGGGAGCAGAGAATTAGACCATTAAAGAGCTATCCAGATAGTTGTTACTTTTATCGTTTTTTAACCATCAGGACTTCATAAAATAAGGTTAATTTATCCCCGTCGTCCTATACAACCCTGAATTTCATGCTGCGGATTAAGACATTTAATGTGTAAACAAAAACTTGAGAGAAAAAGATCAACACATCTTTCATATTTGCAAATAAGTCACCAGCAGGACAATTATATAAATTAATAATGATAATAATTAATAATTAATAATAATAATAATAATAATAATAATAATAATAATAATAATAATAATAATAATAATAATAATAATAATAATAATGAATAATTGTCTGCCTTACAAAAAATACTTCAGAATGCTTTATTTAGTATATAAGTGAAAAAGGATGATTATATTCACTGGGCGATCTTTTACCCCCAAAATGTTGCTAGAAAACCGAGATATCAAATTAGTTTCTACCTATAATATTTATAACTGTAATATTTCTCCTGGAGGGTCAGTACCGGCTGTCGATATATTATATGCGGAGGCTAACACCTCAAGGTGACCCCGAGGCTGCCACTTCGACTGTCTTCATCTCAATAGGTATTTCTCCCTCCTCTCCCTCTGTTTACCTTACAGAAGACAGCCTACGACGCACGCCGAAATATTGCGTCTTGTCTTCCTGATTTTTTTTTGCGACAATGGAATAAACATGTACTCACGGGGAACGCAGAGAACATTACGGTTTTTGACTCTGTTGTCTGCGCGATGGCCGCCGGCGCAGTCACCGATGGTGAATCTCGGTGTCATCTTGCATATTTTCTGAAATATTCGAAAGTAAGGAAATTAAAATATAATTATTTGATCCTATGTTTTAATCGTTTTAGTGAATGTGATAATATTGCTGTACTATATATATATATATATATATATATATATATATATATATATATATATATATATATATATATATATATATATATATATATATATATATATATATATATATATTATACAGTGAAAAAGTAATGGAACTGAAATTCGTATGCTTAAGGGAAATCAATTTAATCCTAAATAACAGGCATAAAACCCAATGGTTTAATAATTTGTCTTCTGCCATGTTTATATGGGATCGTTTTGCAATACAAATTATTGTTCACTTTTACCTGTGTTTGCTATCTCTACAACATAGACAAAAGCAATACGGTGACAATTAATACATACCTTTGAAATGTGATAATAACGCCATGGCCGGAGGAAGCACAAGAATGTAGAAAGAAAATAAAATGAAAACAATCTCCATCTCTCACTCACCACAGAACTTAACGAGTGAAGGAACTACGTAAGCTATGGATCCCAGGTATGTGTACCAGGCAAGTTGTGCCTCACCATATTAATGGTGCACGTTACCGACAAGTCGATGAATGAGACACACGTGCAATATTCGGGTATCTTTATCGCTCGTCAATAAAAATACCCACATAAAGCGTATGTGTCTCACTGATCACTTTGTCTCACAAACCAAGAAGAGGACAACAACACTGGCGGAGTTCAGATAAAGTGATGGGTAGGTGGTTTGCATGTAGCATCCTCAGCTTCCAAGAAAGTCTGAAACACTGCACCACATACTAGAAGACTGGTACGGAAATCAGAAGAAGTAGATTAGATTAATGACAGAGTCTGGAGAGAGAGAGAGAGAGAGAGAGACAGAAAGAGAGAGAGCAAATTCTCAGTAAGATTTATTCTTATAATATATCCCACATTGTTTCCGATTAGTGTTAACGACATACCGGAAGACTTTATAAGTAGTCTAAACTTGAACAGATTATAAACAGATTACAACGGCAGAGTGACCTCAAGAGACCACGGCAGAGGTTAAGCTAGCGGCTACTGGAGTCCTGCTCAGGCAGAGCAGACACTGAACGCTGGAAAAAAGAAACCGCAGACTGTATCATGTGAGTAACGCTGCGAAGAAACTGGAGATAGTGTACCATTTGGATGAGAGTTGGGAAAACACTGCAGACATCCCACCAGTTGGGTCAACGCTGGGAAGAGACTAGACATTGCACTGAGACTGAAGACGCTGGTAAAGGCGATTACAAACATACAGGTGCAGATTAGCTCATAAAGTGAGATCAACACACGGACGTACCCTCAATGCAACGCTAGAAGTATCAGGAATAAATAAAGTTAGCGGAAATACATTTAAATTTAATATTTTGTAGGTAGAGTATTCCAGAAAGGATACTCACGAAGAAGGGGCATAAAGGAAACAAATTTGTGTATATCTGTGGTCATATTGCGTATGGTACACGAGCACAAGTAATGTTTTCAATAGCTTCATATCTAATGTAAAATACACATAAGTGAGTATCAAAGTGGTGAGTGGTGGATTGTTTACAGCGGTTAGTCAATTGGCAGTGGTCAGTCAACATCTTTCCGTCATTACTCAGCCACTTGTCTTCACCACAATTTCTTTTGTGTGGACAAAAATACAAAGGTGTACCACAATTAATATTTTTTGAGACAACATTTCGCTTTGTGTAGAAGTATGAAAAAAAAAAAAGATTTACATACAGCAAAATGTTGTCTTAATAATCTTTTTTTTTTGCATTTTGTGTCTTTGTCTATCAGCTTAACAAAACGTCGTTTCACCCATAATTTTTGTATCGCTCTCCCAATTGCTTCCTTGACATGCTTCGTTTTACCCACTTAAAATATACTTTTGTCTCTCAAAATTTTGTTTCTGCTTTAAGACACTTTCGTCCCTCGAGACAATTACAAACAACTACGAAAACAAAATAAAATAGACCCTTAATGCCCATAGTTGCTTTCACGGATGAACGCCCCCGCTGCCCGGTCCCAGACCAGGCCTCCTAGTACTTTATGAAGCTTGAAGCCTATCGACTGTACAAAGGTAATTAATACTGCATTTAATTAACTCCAAAATAGAGATGAAGTTAAACCTCAGTATATATATTATACACTGAGTGATATGCGCCTCTCCGTGTTTATAAACTGAGAAATATGCTGTCGTTCTTTGTATATTTACACAGATACAAATACATATTATTGTAAACTTTACTGAAAAAAACAAAGTACCTAAAATGTTTATGATTGTTTATATATGACTATATATACATATATATATATATATATATATATATATATATATATATATATATATATATATATATATATATATATATATATATATATATATATATAATATATATATATATATATATATATATATATATATATATATATATATATATATATATATATGCAGAACAACCACTGTGAAAAAGTAGCGAAATTCCAAGCGCTTTCGTGACTTCTCACATAATCAAGGAACTATAAAAATATAAGGAAGGCATATAAGGACGAGACTACACCTCGCTGCCCGCCCACAACAACACCTGACTTTTTTTTATGATGATGCAGGCAGTTAGTCAGTGATCCGTGGAACACAGTTTATATTCTACCCAAAAATTTGTGTAATGTACCTTAAGTTCTTCACAAATATTATTAATTATTAATGAATCCAATTTATATAAACCAAAAGAAATATTCATATTTTCAAAATTACTTTTTATGGAATATGATTCGATTACATTCCTGTCGACCATGTACTTACTTGATATAACTTTCTCAGTCTTTTTGAAAATCAATTGGATGGATAAAATCTCTCACATGAATAAACAGAGAATTAGAATATTGTCCAGTTCTAATGCTGTATTTATGTTGTTTTTAACCTAAGTTCAAGATTTACCAGTTTGATCGTAATAAACTTTATCACACATCTGACAAAGAATCTTATAGACACAACCGTCAGCATTTCTTTGTTTTTTTTGGGGGGAGGAGGGTTTTTTTTTATCAAAAGTTTTTTAACTGTGTCAAGATTTTTAAATACAACTTTTACATTAAAATTATAAAGTTTTTATTAATTCACAGTGGTTGTTCTGCATATTGTGATATATATATATATATATAATATATATATATATATATATATTATATATATATATATATATATATATATATATATATATATATATATATATATATTTTATATATATATATATATATATATATATAATATATATATATATATATATATATATATATTATATATATAATATATATATATATATATATATATATATATATATATATATATATGTATGCATATGTGTGTGTATCTGACTACGTATATTGTTATGCATATGTAGCGTAATTAATTCGCTTATGCAGACGCACCTTAATTTATATTAAGCATTTGACAAAATATTTAAGCTTAACCTTCTATCTGACTTTCTCATTGGCTGAAATAAAACGAATATTAACGAAAAAATCTGACATGCTTTGACTATAATACTAAAGAAGAGGAACAAAAAATTTGCATACGATAGTTATTACTGTGACGCTTAATTTAGAATGTCGAAGCACTAAGGTGCTCTAATACTAGCAGAGTGCCTTTGTAATTCTAGTAACATACCTTAACATGTTTTCATTTGTAATACAAAGCTTTCTTTGCAATTACAATGTGCTTTGTAGTCTAGATTCCTTGCTTCATGTGCCTTTGCATGCTATATGTGAATGGTCACTTTTCCTATATGTCTATGTAGATGATATATATATTAATGATATACATATATATATATATATATATTAAATATCTATATATCATATATAATTATATATATAAATATAATTATATATATAATTATTATATATATATTATATATATGTATAATATCATATATATATAATGTGATATATTTAATAAATATATATTTTGATAGTTAACGTTCTTGGACAATTATACTGCAAAAATGGTCAGCTGGACACTATTCCTAATGAAAGGTCAGTTACAACATAAAATCTTATTTATAAAAATATCAGAAGATATCCATACCTCAATTGATCGGGTACATTTCCTCCGGTATGTGTACCTGTCCTCATGGGTCAGTGGTACACTGTTCTGTCAGTTGGTACACTGCTCATGGTAGTGGTACACTGTCTCATGGGCAGTGGTACATGTCTCATGGGTCAGGGGACCATGCCTATGGGTCTGTAAATAACAACTGTCCAATGGTCAGTGGTACATGCCTAAAAAAGGTCATGGTACCTTGCTATGGGTCAGTGTACACTGTTATGGGTCATGTACACTTGCCTCAGGGTGAGTGGTACACTGTCCCCTGGGTCATTGGTACAACTGCCTCATGGGTCAGTGGTACACTGTCTCAGGTCAGTGAAACATGCTAATGGTCAGTGGAAACACTGTCTCTTTGGTCAGTGTACACTGCCTCATGGGTCAGGGGTTTTACACTGCCTAATGGTCAGGGGTTTACACTGCTAAATGGGTCAGTGGACACTGTCTCATGGGTGAAAATGGTACACTGTTCATGGGTCAGTGGACACTGCTTGGGTCATTGTACACTCCCTATGGTCATGGTACACTCTCATGGATCAGTGTACACTCCCTCATGGGTCAGTGGTACACTGCCTCAAGGTTCAGGTACATGTCTCATGGGTCAGTGTACACTTCCTCATGGAGTCGTGGTACACTGCCTCATGTCAGTGGTACACTGTCTCAGGGGTCAGTGGTACACTGCTCAGGGGTCATGGTCACTGCTCTGGTGAGTGGTACACTGCCTCATGGGTCAGTGGTACACTGCCTCAGGGTTCAGTGGTACACTGTCTCATGGGTCAGTGGTACACTGCTCATGGGTCAGGGGTACACTGCCTAATGGCCCAGGGTACACTGCCTCTAGGTCAGTGGTAACTGCTCATGGGTCATGGTACACTGCCTCATG